CATAAACGTGCGCTTACAGCACATAAACGTGCGCTTACAGCACATAAACGTGCGATAGTGCGCTTTACAGCACATCAAGTGGGCGATAGTGCGCTTACAGCACATAAACGTGCGCTTACAGCACATAAACGTGCGATAGTGCGCTTTACAGCACACCAAGTGGGCGATAGTGCGCTTTACAGCTCATCAAGTGGGCGATAGTGCGCTTTGCAGCACATCAGCTGTGCTATAGTGCGCAAAATGGAATCGGATTGACTATCGATATTGCGTTGTAATAATATCGAGTCGAAAAACGGTCGAAAATGAGTTGTTCGATATCGAAAAACGTGGTATGCAGTTCGGTGGACATTCGAGCGCTGATTCCGAAAGTGTACGGCGTTGCCAGATCGGGCCAGAAATAAAGATTCTAGAGCCCATATCTCGGCCGTTTGTGGTCCAATCTGGCAACGCTTGGCATTTTCGGAATCAGCACTCGATTGTCCATCGAACTGCATACCACGTTTATCGATATCGAACAACTCATTTTCGACCGATTTTTCGAAAAAATGGAAAGGCTAACCACCACGATTTTTTCCGATTTTGGCCGAAAATTTTTTTGTCCGATTTCGACGAAATTGGTATGCAGTTCGATAGACTTTGGGACGCCTATTCCGAAAACGCCAAGCGTTGCCAGATCGGACCACAAACGGCCGAGATATCAGCTATAGAAAGCTCAATTCTGGCCCGATCTGGCAACACTGCGCATTTTCGGAATCAGCGCTCGAATGTCCATCGAACTGCATACCACGATTTTCGATATCGAACAACTCATTTTCGACCGATTTTTCGCAAAAATGGAAAGGCTAACCATCACGATTTTTTCCGATTTTCGCGGAAAAATTTTTGGTCTGATTTTGACAAAATTGGTATGCAATTCGACAGTCTTTGGGATGCTGATTCCGAAAATGCTAAGCGTTGCCGGATCTGACCACAAATGGCCAAGATATGGGCTCTAGAATCTCTATTTCTGGTCCGATCTGGCAGCCCTGTACATTTTCTGAATCAGCGCTCGAATGTCCACCGAACTGCATACCACGTTTTTCGATATCGAACAACTCATTTTCGACCGTTTTTCGACTCGATATTATTACAACGCAATATCGATAGTCAATCCGATTCCATTTTGCGCACTATAGCACAGCTGATGTGCTGCAAAGCGCACTATCGCCCACTTGATGAGCTGTAAAGCGCACTATCGCCCACTTGGTGTGCTGTAAAGCGCACTATCGCACGTTTATGTGCTGTAAGCGCACGTTTATGTGCTGTAAGCGCACTATCGCCCACTTGATGTGCTGTAAAGCGCACTATCGCACGTTTATGTGCTGTAAGCGCACTATCGCATGTTTATGTGCTGTAAGCGCACGTTTATGTGCTGTAAGCGCACGTTTATGTGCTGTAAGCGCAAGTTTATGTGCCGTAAGCGCACGTTTATGTGCTGTAAGCGCACTATCGATAGTAAGTTACAACAAAATTTTCAGCAAAAATCGAAAAATCCGATTTTTTTAGGGTTTTCCTATTTTCCAAAATTTTCTTGAGTTTTCCAGAATTTTCCAGAATTTTTCTGAATTTTTTTATTTTTCAGAATGACTTGCATTTTTTTTGCGGCTTCGAAAAAGTGGATTTCGGCCCGCTACCAGGCTCGAAGTACCAGGCGAACAGAAACGTGCAGTAGGTGGATTCTTCTTTTTCAAACTGTTTTTTGTGAATAACTCGGCCATTTGGCATCCAATCGTGGATTGTAATGGCTCAAAAAAAGTGAAAAAATACGGTCCATCTACCTGGCTACCTAAGCCTGGTATTGGCCAAGTTAACACGGAGTGGCTAATAAATTTATCTTAAATATTTATTTTTTAAAGTTCATTTATTTATATCTCGGTCATTTTTCAGCCGATCGGGAAGCATAGTACCATTCCAGGATCAGGAACTTGATATCCTTCGAACTGCATCAAAGGATCCTCATGAAGTCCTGAAATACCGATACTGATCCTTTCCTAATATATGATTACCGCTCGACGTTTTGTTGTTGGATTCTGAAGATCCTTTGATGCAGATCGAAGGATGTTCATGTCCTGATGCCAAAATTATATTCCATTTTAAAATCGGTTGGAAAAATACCGAGATATAAACAAACCAATTTATCGAAATATATTTCTAAGCTAAATTTTTTTACCATTCGGTCTTAACTTGGCCAATACCAGATTTTGTTGGCCAGGTAGATGGGCCGTATTTTTCTGCATTTTATGACATACAACAATCCGGGATTGGATGCCAAATGGCCGAGTAATTCATAAAAAACACTTTCGAAAAACAGAATCGACCTACTATGCATTTCTGTTCGCCTGGTACTTCACGCCTGGTAGCGGCCTGAAACTTAAAAAATTTCAGCCTCTATAGTCTGTGACGTCACGAGCAGAGCTTTGATCCACTGGGTGGTGTCTTGGCTGAACAGGTTTGTGTCTTGGGTGAGAATGTGGGTCCTAAGTGGGACCTGTGTGGATCCTATGTGGGACATGTGTGGATCCTATGTGGAACTTGTGTGGATTGTAAGTTGATCGAAAACCGTTAAATTCAAATTCAAATTCAAAAAATAAGTTTCCCGCCCGCGCCATGTGGATCCAATTACGATCCGCTTAATTTAAATTTAAATTCAAAAAAGTTCCCGCCCGCGCCCCCTAAGCTTTTTTAAAAGTTCCAAGTTCAATCCGTGACGTCACAGATTTCAGAAGCTGAAATTTTAAAATTTCCGGGCGGTACCAGGCTCGGAGTACCAGGCGAACAGAAATGCATAGTAGGTGGATTCCAATTTTTGAAACTGTTTTTTGTGTATAGCTCGGCCATTTGGCATCTAAGCCCAGATTGTGGTATGTCAAAAAATGCAGAAAAATACGGCCCATCTACCTGGCTAACAAAATCTGGTATTGGCCAAGTTAAGACCGAATGGTAAAGAAACTTAGCTTAGAAATATATTTCCAAGTTATTTCCATAAATTGGTTTGTTTATATCTCGGCACTTTTTCAACCGATCTTGAAATGGAATATAATTTTGGAATCAGGACATGAACATCCTTCCATTGGCATCAAAGGATCTTCAGAAGCCAACAACAAAATGTCGAGCGGCAATCATATTTTAAAAAAGGATCAGTATCGTTATTTCAGGACTTCATGAGGATCCTTTGATGCAGTTCAAATTCAAGTTCAAAGGATATCAAATTCCTGATCCTGGAATGGTACTATGCTTCCCTATCGGTTGGAAAATGACCGAGTTGTGAAGAAACAAAGTTTTAAAAATAAATATCTAACACAAATTTGTTAGCCACTCCGTGTTAACTTGGCCAATACCAGACTTTCTTAGCCAGGTAGATGGGCCGTATTTTTCCACTTTTTTTGAGCCATCGCAATCCGGGATTAAAGGCCAAATATCCGAGCTATTCATAAAAAACAATTTCAAAAAGTAGAATCCACCTACTATGCGTTTCTGTTCGCCTGGTACTCCGAGCCTGGTAGCGGCCGGAAAATTAAAAAATTTCAGCCTCGAAAGTCCGTGACGTCACGGGATGAGCTTGGATCCACTGGGTGGTGTCTTGGCTGAATAGGTTTGTGTCTTTGGTTGCATGTGGAACCAGAATCCACCTACTATGCGTTTCTGTGCGCCTGGTACCGTGGCGGGCCAAAATCCACTTTTTCGAAGGCGAAAAAAAAGTGCAAGTCATCCGGAAAAGAGAAAAAATTCAGAAAAATTCTGGAAAATGACGGAAAATTCAGAAAAATTTGAAAAATTAGGAAAATCAATGAAAAAACGTAGAAAAACTAATAAAAATCAAAAAAAAAGGAAAAATTTAGAAAAAAAAATAAAATTCTAAAAAAATGAGAACACGAGGTACCAGGCTGGGGGTATGAGGCGAATAGAAACGATTAGAAGGTCGATTCCTTTTTTTTTTAAAGCACTTTTAGTGAATAACTCGGGTATTTCGCATTTAATCCCCCATTGTTATGGCTTAAAAAATGCGGAAAAAGAGCCCATCTACTGGCCAAACAACATCGGGTATTGGCCAAGTTAACACTACCCGACATTTTGTCGTTAGATTTTCAAAATCCTTTGATAGAGATCGAAGGATGGAGAAGTGCTGATTCTAACGTTGTATTTTGTTTGCAGATTGGTTATTGTTGCAGGAAGGAAGGACGTGGTGATGCTAAAACTGGGTTAATACTATTAGCTGTATTGAAAATATATACCAATAGAAATTGGACGCTTCCACAACATGTGCCTCATACTTTGCGTGGTCTATGTTGCTTATAATTGAAAGCAAACCTTTCTTTTGGGCTGCCTCCTCTTGAAATTCACCCTTGACTTGCGACTGCCGGTTGGGATGATTGGTCGGGTGTTCCGGTTTTCGGGTCACAGCGTTTCGCAACGCCTCCGACTCGGTCGAAGTCGCCAAGTACAAGTCCGGATTCGAATTCGAATTCCCATTCCAGTTCCAACGGGTAATCAATTCAAACTAAACTGTTGCCGGTCGAGGGCCATCATCCCGTCATCGTCGTCTCACCATCGTCGCCATCAATGAAAGTCGTGATGTAATGATATAACCCAGTCGAAACGCAGCCCCAAGCCCACAAGCCCACAACAAGTTACAAATTTGTGGCTTGTTTTGCATATTCGGCTTATGGTTATTAAAATTTGGCTATTAACAAATATGTTGGCCCAACGATCGGCCTATTTAGTTGGCTTGCGAGAAAATAAAATGATTAATTTTATGAGCCGTTTTATTGAAATCAAATGTTGACTAATTTTCGGCATTTATTTAATAATTGAAATTAAACCGAGCCTGGTGTTTCACCAGAGAGTTTCCAAACATGATTGCGACATACTAGCATTTTTTGAATAATTATCATGGGAAAGAAAAGCTTTTCTTCGACATTTTAATGATGATCTCGCCATTTCGAAATTAAAAATGCCCGCAGTTTTGGTTCAAATAATTGTTTATTAACAAATAATTTAAGTTAATAATGAAGAGGTGTGTGTTTTCTTTGTGTGTTTTCAGTAATGACTGTGAAGGATTTTAGCCTAGGAAAAAAATACATAACGATAGAGGTAGAGGATAGAAAAAAAAAACAAAAAAAAAGTAATTCATTTGGTCTAACTAACTAGGCGGACTTGCGTCTACCAGGCGCTTGAGCTCCAGCCCCCCGACGAGGAGGAGCCGCCGGAGCTCCAGCCTCCTGAGGAGGAGGAGCCGCCGGAGCTCCAGCCGCCGTTGCCTCCGCCGTTGCTGGCGCCACCGAAGCCCCAGCCTCCCTTGGAGCCACCACCCTGGGACTGCTGGCTGCGACCCTGCTGCTCCTGCACCTGCATCACCTTCAAGGTGCCCCTCTGCACAACGTGTCCGCTCTTGAAGAAGGCTCCCTGCGCTTGGTCGGCCTTCAAGATGATGGCCTTGCCCTTGGATCCAAACGTATTAATCAGCTGCCCGTTGATGGCGGCTATGTCGGCTCCTCCAGCACCACCTCCGCCTAGTGAGTCCTCCTGCAGCACCAGCTGGATGATCTGGGGCAGGATGGCGTTGAACTGCTGAGCGTCGAAGGAGGAGGCGCCTCCGTAGCCGTGGCCGGCTGCGTAGGACTGTCCGTAGGAGTAGCCACCGCCGCTAGACCCGCCAGAGGCGTGGTAGGCAATGGGAGCCGGAGCCGGAGCAGCTACTGGCACTGAAATGGGAATCGGAACCGGTGCTGGGGCGGGAATCGTGACAGGAACTGGAGCTGGAGCCGCAGCCTGTTCGATGACCTTGTAAATCTGGGCATGCTGCTGTCCTCCATATGATGCTCCGCCGTAGGAAGCTCCACCGCCGCCTGATCCGTAGCTGTAGCCAGAGGAGACAATGCCACCTGCTGCTCCTCCGCCGTTGGAGTAGCCCTGGCCCTCTTGCAGAATAACCTTGATGATTTGCGCAGAGCCTCCGTGTCCGCCATGACCTCCTCCGCTGTAGCTGCCTCCATGGGCGTAACCCTGGGCGTAGCCATGACCATGACCACCACCACCACCACCTCCTCCTCCTCCGCCGCCGCCTCCTCGGGCACTGGGTGTGGCAATCACGTCATAAGTGGTCTTGGTGCCTCCACCTCCGCCTCCGCCGCCCAAAAAGGACAGGAAGGTGGCGTTGCAGGCACAGACGGTGGCCAACAGGCAGATAAAGACCTGCAGATACACATTGTTAGGGTAATCTGTTAGTTTTCAGTTGCACTTCCATTCGTAATCCACTTCCGATGCAGGTCCTGGACCTGAGGCTCACCTTCATTTTCGTGTTTTGTGTTCTCTGGGGTTTCCACTCGTAGTTCCCTTTGGGAGATGCTCGTCGCTCTGTTCCCGGCCAGCGAATGATGCCTCTCTCCACACTGGCCCTCGGCTTTTATACAAGCAGATCGCAGATAGTGGATCGGAGATCCGCCGGAGATCCGCTAACCGTTAGATGCGCTGCGGCCGTGACGTCACCATCACAGTCGCCGTGGCTAGCCCACGGAATCGATTCAACACACCTGCCGTTGTCGTTGCCGTTGCCGTTGCTCTTGCAACTCACCTGAGGAGATGATGATGATCTGTGGGCCAAACAGGGTGCCTGGTCTGGGAATTGGGTTAACACTTCGATTTTGTTGGCTATTTGCAAGGGGGTCTTGATCTTAGAGGATGAAGGCCTTACCATTTATTGCTAAAAACCCTATGGCTTATGATAGCTTCTAGTTTTAACCATAGAATAGCACTATCTACTCCAGATTCAGCTATCAAGAATAGATATTATGGAAAATATTATGTGAATATTTTAATATATACCTATACCTAAATGGATATAATGGAATATATACCTAAATGAAATGAAAGTATAGTCTAGTCTAGTCTCTAGGTCCAGGTCTATAAGCCCATCGAGCTTACAGCATAGAGCATCAACCACTCATAGAAAAAATACGTTTATTTTTAATAGTTTTTTTTTTTTGATAATTAATTATTATTTAATTATGTACGTCCATAAAAAAAAACACCCTGTAGGCCGCAATAATCATCTATGGATTTCCTCAACTGCCCAAAAAACTCATAAGCAACAATAACAATAACAAATTGCCGGCAAACACAAACAAATAGAAAAACAACAACAACAACAACTTGAGGGGCAGATAACACAACTTACAACGAAAGCTCAGCCTTAAGCAGATGCGCTCTGCCGCCACGCTCTGCTCCGCTTACAAAGCACCCGGCAGAGCAGCCAGGTGAGGCAGTGGCAGAGGCAGAGGCAGAGGCAGAGAAAGGTGCGTCGTAGGTCAAGCCTCGAAAAACCGACTGACCGGCTTTTTGCATATGATTATCGATTTGGGAGCTTCGCTAATTACACTGGGAAAAAAAGAGTAGGTAAATATATGGGAGAAATTCATATATGAGGAGATTATATAAAGACATAAAGGTTATAACGATTATGATATCAGATCATTATACTCTTCTCCTGCGTCCACTCGCCAAATAAAAATTTATAAAATACTACTCTATAGACTTTTTCTCTCCATGTAGGAGCGTTTTGTATTGCAACAGAAAGCTGGGTCTGGGTCTGGGTCTGGGGCTGGGAAGCCGCTACGAAGCGAAGCCACTACGATATCACCGTAGATCGTGGATTGGCATCTCGGGCATCGGAATCCCAGGCATTGCCGCAGCCGGATTATTATATCATGCAACATCGTTTTCAAATTTGTTAATTTTGTGTGCATTTTTGTATAAATTATTTAATGCGCGCGGTTGCGCATGCGCAGCCTCCAAAAAAAAAAAACACCAAAACAACTGAAGAAACCTAGACCCACTGTCGCTCCCAATCTCTTTCGATTTGCTGATGATCCGTTACCAGCACGTTTTTCGGTTTTTAGTTTCAGTTTCGCCTAAATGGCCAAATAACGATGCCACAGGCCAAATTCCAATAAATAAAACCACTAAATAGCAGTATTTTAAACCAATAAGAGACCTTAAATGAGTATTATTTTGATAGGTCCGTAGGAACTACTTCCATGACTTATCAAGCTATATCACAGGTCTCTATATCTTGTAGAATCTATTGAAACTCTTCAAATCAGTTGGGTAGTGGTTCTCAGTTAGCCAGGGTCTACTGTACGCACTTTTATCACCCGACTGGCTGCTGTTACCTTTTCTATTTTTGTTTGGGGTTTTGGGTGTCAAAGCACCTTGTGTTGGGGCAGGCCGTGGCTGGAGTTGGGGCTATATTGGGTTCCCAGCCTCCTTCCATGCCAGACCCTCCACTCGAATGCAAATCGGAGTCGGCCTCCGCCCCGATTCGATGTGCAAATAGTGGCTGACTGGATAGATCAATGGACCGGAATCGGAATCGACTTATGCAATCCCAAATTTTTGGTTTACGATACGACTGTCATATATATTTAAAAGTGCCGCTCCGAATGGGTTTCGACCAAAAACGAAAACCAACAAAATACAGATTCCAAAGCGATGAAGACACGGGGCTATGAAGAGTTACGTTTCTAAAATATTTAAATGACTGTTTTCAATAAGGAGTATGTGGATCTGTAGGGTGTCTATTGGATTATTCAATAAGGCATCAATAAATAAGGTTATCGATAAGGAATACATTAATAATTAATACCAAGAAAGGCTTTTTTTACTCAAGATTCGTTCAGGAAAGGAAATTAATGAGTTTACAATTTGTGAGAAGAATACGTCTGAGTATCATCCTGTCTAGGGCATGGCGCCCATAAGGTAGGCGGGCAGCCTGTAGTTAGAGTAGACGCCGGCGAATCGGATCACCCAGCCCACGCCGTCGTAGTTGACGGTCTTGTGGAAGCGGACCACCAGCTGGCTCTTCTTGCTGATGTAGCTCCGCGGATTGTCGTCCCCGCAGAAGCGGCGCACCTCCTTCTCCTCCCCGTTGGGCGCGTCCTGCTCCAAAATCTGCAGGTAGTCCGTGTGGCAGGTGCTCCGGCTGCCCAGATTGAACACTACGCGGAGAAGGCACTCAAAATAATGAACTATGAAGGCAAGGCCAGGAAACACTCACCGTCGAAGTTGAGCAGCACCTTGTTGTTGCTCGGCACCCGGATAACCCAACGGCAGTCGGAGTTGTTCCGGACATTGGCCGGGTAGAAGGGGTTGGTGAAGAGGCCCTCGGTGTTGTAGAACTGGCCCCCGCATCCGGGCCCCTGCTCCACCGGGCTGGCCAGGTAGGTCAAGTCCACAGTAATCAAAAAGGTGCCCGTCTTGACGTGCAGCCGCAGCTCGTTGGTGGAGGTGAAGAGACTCTTGCCGGTGTCGACGTAGCCGCATACCTTCTGCAGGGATCTGTTGCCCCGGTCAAAGACCTGCAGGTTCTCGTCCTCGCAATCGTAGGCCGCGAACACCAACTCCGTGTAGTACAGACTGAGGGTGTAGTTCTCCGGTGCCTTGATCATCACGTCGCAGTTGGAGGTCTCCGACAGGTGGACGCGGCCCTGGAGGCCCGTGTACTGCCACTCACAGTTGGTGGAGGCCATGGCAACGACGCGGAAGGAGGCGTTCTTGTCCGTCCGGTTCGTTCGGTGGAACTTCAAGTACACCTCGTTTGAGTTGGAGTAGTAGGTGTCCGGCGTCGAGTTCCCGCAGAAGACGTGCTCCGTGGCGTAGTCCACGTAGTTGCGCCGGTCCAGGTTGCCGTTGATGACCAGTTCGCTGCTAAAGCCAGACCTCACCATCTCGGCATCCTGCAAAGCATCGCGAATGGATTTCCTTATTGGATTAGGTTGCCACTCTTGCCACACACTCGCTATTACTCACCTCACGGGTGTACACCTTCAGGTAGTCATCCGAACAGCTTCCGTTCGCGTCCGGACCCTGCAGCGAGAGCTGCTCGAAATGCAGGCTTATGGGTTTATCGCTGCTAATCTTCCAGAAGCAGGAGAGTCCCGAGATCGCGTCCGAAGACTCCACATACGGGGATCCCAACGACACGAACGGTGGTACAGTAGAATCGAGCATTATATCCGGGGTACCGCATAGCCGGGGTACTGCATCGATCTGTAGCTCGAAACCGGAGTCGTTGACCGTCGCATCCGTCACGAATCTCAGGAAGAGTGTGTGTCGCGTGGTGACCAGCGTGGGAGGCAGATCATTGCCGCAAAAGCGACCTATGAGATCGGCAAAGGGACCGGCTCCGTCCCGCAGCTCGACAAAGTCCTTCTGGCAGTCGGCGGAGCTCTGCACGTGGAAGCTGGAGAACTGGAGCTTGATCTGCTGATCCCGGTGCACCCGGAAGTTCACCTCGCAGTCCAGGTCGTTGTCATATCCGCCGGCCGTGTTAAACCTGTTGTAAGTGTAGAGGGAGCCGTTGATGGCGATGACCTCATCGCAGTTTCGCATCACACGGACCAGGGCCCGGAAGCCCTGCGACGGATCCCGTTCGTCCGAGAAGCTGTGGATGAGACCACGCTCCCGTGGTATGCTGATCACCGGCAGGTTGTCGGTCATGCGGCCGCAGTAGCGACCCCGTCGCTCGGCCTCCACCGGAGCCGGCCCGCTGAAGATCTCCACGCCGTCGTACATGCACTCCGATTGCGCCTCAAAGTCCAGCTTCTCGAACTTGACGGTGAACTTGTGGCCCTCGGGGGCCGTGAGGTTCCAGTAGCAGTCGCTGTTCGGCGGGAAGCTGTTGTCGGTGTGCTGCTTGGGCGACTCCACGATGCTCGTCTGGGAGATGACGCCGCCGCAGACCCGGCTGGTGTACAGCAGCTGGAAGCCGCGGCCGGAGTAGCTGTTGTCCGTCGCGAAGACCAGGTTCACGGACTTCTTCGCCCGGTACTCGTGCTTCAACTTCATTCCGCAGATGGTGGCCTGCTTGCTTCTTTCGTCATCGTTGTCCTTGGTGGTCACCGTGACGTTGTCGTACATGCAGCCTGTGGGGGAGTTCTCCAGATCGAAGTGCAGGAAGCTGACCAGAACACCGTTGGCATGCGGATCTCGCGGCACAATCGTCCAGTTGCAGTGCAGGTACTTGTCGTAGCCCTGGGGGTATCCTGGGCTAGACAGCTCATGCTCCTCCTCCTCGGCGTACAGCACACCGCCGCAGTTCCGCTCGAACTTGGCCAGAAACCCGTCGCCGACCACGTCCCCGTCGGACCGGAACGTCAACCGCATGTAAGGCATCGTGGTGTTGATCTGCTCCGGCGGAACTCGTCCGCAAATCCTTTGGATGTCCGTCCAGTTGGCGGTGCTCTCATTCCGCTGCTGGACCAGGAGGTAGTCCTTGGTGCAGCCGCTGCTGTCCTCGATGTAGAAGCGGCCCAGGAAGGAGAGTCCGATGTGGTAGCCCGGCTCCGCCTCCACCTCCCAGACGCACTCCATGTTGTTCTTGTACTGCTCCCCAAAGTCGATGGGCCGGAACGGATACTGCAGTTTGCCGCCGCACCCGGATCCGTATTTGATCGAAACGTTGAAGGTGGCGTTGGGCACGAAGTTCTCCGCATGGTACTCCAGGAAGAGCCCGCGCTCCACCACCAGGTTCTTGACGGCGGCCGTGTTGCACAGCATTCCCAGTGAGGGCGAGTTCTGGTCGGGACCACTGTAAACCTGCAGAAGACATCGGAATCAGCGTAATTCGTTCAAACCTCTGCCACGTTGGCGGACTCACGTTTAGATAGTGGTTTTGGCAGGGCGCCAGCGTTGATCCTGCCGCGGGAGCGGGAGCGGGAGTGGGGAGGTTCAGTTCGACCGAAACCTCCAACTGGATGTCCTGCAGCGCCAGCTCGCCGTCCTCTCCGGCGGGCGAGACGCCCGGACCGATGGCCCAGGCACAGTCTATGGCACCCTGGGTGCCGGCCATTCCACTGGGTTGCCGCACCACCATGCTGTCACCGGGCTCCAGGACGATCATGCCGCCACAGGCTTGCACTTTATAGCCCAGGACCAGGTTCGTCAGGGCGTTGCGGGCGCTCGCAGTCACGGTCAGCTGGATGGGGAAGGGGAGGCGCACGGTGGGCCGGGGCTGGTCGGGCTTCAGGGACTCGAAGCCGCACAGGATGCGGGACATCAGAGGCTCCGACTCGTCCTGGCGCTTCAACTTAAGGGGCGATATCAAGGAGCAGAGCCGGTTGTTGAGCATCATGGCAGAGGTGGTGTTGTACTCCTTGATCTGGAATGGAGGAGTAGCAGGTGATCCTCGAAAGTGATTGGCAGGAAATAGAGACCACTTACTTGTATCAGGACGGTTGAGTTCGCCGGCGGCACTAGGTCATAGCTGCAGTGCATCGCCTGGGTGATATTGGTCCTCTGGAAGCTAATCTCCCTCTTAACGCCCTCGTCTAGGACGAACCGACGGCACTGGGTCAGCCCATAGGTGCTGAAACGGAGCTTGAAACCTCGGTGCCGAGAGATGGGCATCAGGAAGGCTTCGACGCCCATGGTGTTGTCCGAGGAGATGACCGTCGCGGGCGCACTGTCGGTGTACCTGCCCAGAATAGAGATCATCCTGTGGTCGTTGGCGACGGTGAGTCGCCCGCGGAAAGTCCGCCCAATGGCAGGAACCGGATCGAGGGTAACGCTGAAGTCCAAGATTTCCAACTTAATGCGGCGCCCCTTGGGCACCTCCAGCTTCCAGAGACAGTGCACCGGCCGAGTAACGCCGTCCGGGTAGCCGGGGGTCTGGAGCACGCCCTGGACGGCATGGATGGTCTCGCCACAGCGCGAACCCACCGACTTGTATGCCCAGCTGAAGACGTAGGCCTCGGGCGGCAGTGTATCCATGATGCGGTAACGGATAATTACCTTGTTGGTCTCCACGAGGAGGTGCCGGCTGTCCGATCCGCATATGTAGAGCTGGTCGGAGACGCGCTCCTCGCCCTCCTCCCCGTACGGCTCTATCTCCTCCAGCAGCAGGTGGGTGTGCTGCGAGCAGTTGCCATTCTGATACGGACTGGGTAGGCTGAGGCTCGTCGTCTCCATATCGATGGTGGTGCCCTTCTCCATCTCGATGGTGTAGACGCACTCCCGGATCGGGCGCCCGTCCTCGATATGTGTGTGGAGCAGCTCCCGCGAGGGCGAGGAAATGACGCCCTCGGGGCTGTAGAAGGCGCCGCCGCAGCTGGCTAGCTTGACGGTGGCCTTGAAGCCGGAGTGTGGCTCGGCCACATCCGTGAAGTAGCGAATCCTCATCTGGCTGGCTTTGGAATAGATGGTGTCGGGCTTGCGGTTGCCGCAGAAGCGACCCAATTCAGGCTTCAGCTCCGTGCCGCCATCGTGGACTTGGACGAACTCCCGTTGGCACTCGCCGGAGTCCTTCGAGAGGTCCTCCAAGTCAAACCGGTCCTCGAAGTGCAGCATGATCCGGTGCTCGGGAGGAGCTGTCACAACCCAGACGCACTCCGAGTGCGGGTTGGGGAGATTCGGGTAGAGGGGCGAACTGATCACCTCCGAGTCCTGGCCGGAGGTCAGCTGGATGCGCCGGGAGCAGGCCTGGCCCACTTCTTCCACGCTGAAGGTAACTCGCGAGCTGACCGGGCCCCTCTTGTGGTGGAACTTCACGTAGGCCGTGTTTGAGGAGGTCTCCAGAGCATCCGCGATGTTGTCCTCGCAGTATTTTCCCCTGCCCAGGAAGGGTGAGTCGCCGGCGCCGCCGTTACGCAGCACCAGGAAGTTCTCGCAGGCGGCGGAGTCCGCGGGGCTGTCGCCGTTCTTAAGGATGACTTCCGGGAACTCCAGTCTTAGCCGGCGCCCCTGGCGCACCCTCAGCGTCCAGATGCAGTCCTGCTGGACGGCCGGACCTCTGTTCAGCACCTCCGTGAGATTCAACTGAATCTTGCCAGTCACAAAGATATCCGAGCCGCAGGCAGTGCGCAGAAAACTTCTGAAGCCCGTCTTGTTAACACTCGCGTCCGTAATGAACTCCACCCGCAGGTAGGGTGTTCCGTGGATGGTTCGCGAAGGAGCATCGCTCGGCAATTCGCAGATCTTCTTTGGCTCTGACCAGTTCTGCAGGTCGTTGCTGCTGGAGATCTGCAGGTAGTCCGCTATGCAGTCGTCGCCGAACTTCTCCAGGTCCACCGTGTCCAGCGTGAGCATCACGTGGACGGCCGGGTTATAGGGCACTAGGGTCCAGGCGCATTCCAAACTGTGCTCGTAGCCCTCCGGATATCCTGGGGATTTGAAAAGCAGCAAGGCCCTGCCCACGTTGATCACCTGCTTGCCGCACTTCTGGCTCTGCTCGGCCAGGGTGCGGTTGGAGCGCAACTCCTCCTTGGACAGTCGCTGCCAGTTAAGCCTGAAGGGCCCGCGTTTGGCCGTGAAGTATACCACGTTGGTGCTGGACCGGATGGGCTCATCCACGTCGACCAGTGGTATCTGGGAGCCAATGTCGGAGTAGCCATCGTAGAAGCTCAGATGCGCCTGGTCCAGGTCTCGCAGGTGCTGCATTGTTATCACCACCACGTAGTCCTTGTCCACGGTGATCCTCCAGCTGTAGGGCTCCGAGCTTTTGAAGTTGGTGGGATAATGGGGCGACTCCACAACTCCGTCCGTGCCATTCAGTTCGTTGTGGTGTTCTTTAGGGAGGAAAGGGAATCTTTTAGAGAACGAAACAAGAAGGAGTTGAGTCTCTGAGGACATGGTACGCACCGTAATTGTAGGACGCCATAAAGCCTTCGCCCACGTTGTCGTCGTCACTCTTGAACTTCATCCAGATAGTTCCCCTGGAGCGGATTACCGGCGGCACCGTCTGTCCGCAATAGACACCGATGAGGGCTCCTCGCGAGTCCTCCTCGCGCACCTCCAGGTAATCGCGGTTGCAGCCCTCAGACTGCTCCAGGTCCAGCGACTCCAGGGTGAGGCTGATCGAATTGCCGGCACTCGCCATCAGAATCCAGGTGCACTCAATGTTTGCCGGATAGGAGGATGGGTAGTAGGGCGTGGTGAACTTGCCGGACAGGGCGGTGTACAGGCTGCCGCAGGCCATGTCCATGGTCATGTAGTGGGCTTCGAACTCCTCCACCAGCATCAGGGGAACGCTGATCGTCAAGGCGTGGCCGTTTGAGATAATTGCCGGAGGATGGGAGCGGCAGAAGGCGAGCCGGGGCGTGCCGGTGGCCTCGGTGCCCTCGTAGATTTTCACACCCGCGGGCATGCAATCACCCTCGGTGGGGTACTGGGCATCTGCTGTCTCCCGCAACTTTATGTGCGTCGGCGTCAGAACGACGTGCTTTGTGGCATCCTGCGCCTGGATAACCCACAAACAGCTCTCGTTCCGCGGCGCCTGCCGGGACAGCTCGATGTAATCAAAGTCGGACTCGTCGATGCTGATCTGCTGGCCGCAGGACTCGTGGAAGTGCAGCCGGAAGCCCGCTCTGGAAATGGAATCGTCGCTAACAAAGCGCACCAGGGCCAGGTTGGAGGCACTCATCACAGGACCATTGGCTACACTTTCCTCGCTGCACTCGCGGAAGAGTCTCTGGCCCTCCATTTCGTCTTCGCCCAAGTCGTAGGCCTCCAGGTAGTCCCAGCTGCAGTCCATTCCCATTTCCAGCTGCAGATCCTGCACATCGAATACGATCCGGTGCTGCGGCGACACCTCCACTTGCCACTCGCAATGGCTGTCCTTCGGATACTGGTTCGGGTAGTTGGGTGACATGATGACTCCGTTTCGGGAGGTTACTTTTCCGCCGCACTCTACGAATATAGGAGATGGTGGGGTTGAGTCCTGAGGCTGAGTCCTTCTCCGCTTTACTTACCCGCGTGCACAGCTCGGTAGTTGGCTACAAAGCCCTGACCGTTATGGGATCCGTCCGAGATGAAGCGCACGTGCAGCCGGTGGCCAGAACTGGTCACGACCAGTTTGGGAGTGGATCCGCAATGGCGGTCATGGGTCTGGACCTCGTTGGCGTGGTTGGAGAACTGGCGAGAAATAGTTTAGATATAAAGGGGCAGCAAAGCGCTCACTTACCGTTAGTGCATCCTTGGTGCAGTTGACACTCTCCTCGAGGTCTAGATAGTAGACGGTGACCTCCACAACTCTGTCAGCACTGCCAACGTCGATCAGCCAGTAGCACTCCAGGTTATTGGGGTACATGCCCGGGCGGTTGGGACTCTGGAAGGTGCCACTCTCGCCGCGCAGCTCCTCCTGGCAGCCGTCGATGCGGTAGTCCAGCTGGAAGTTCACATTGCTCGAATTGTGGACCACAGTGAGGGTGTCGCTACTGGAATTAACCGATGCCACGGATGTTAATTTTTGCGTCCGGTTGCCGTCAAGGATGTAAAGGCCGCCAGGCAGGCCATTAGGGATGTGCTCCTCGTGCGTTTCCAGGTGGGAGAGCTCCAGGCGAATGTGATTGCCGCGGGGCGCCTTTATGGTCCAGTTGCAGTTAATCGGAATGGTGTCCTCGAACGGCTCCATGTAGTTCAGGCTCTCGATGGTGCCGTAGGTCTTGCTTAAGGTCACCCCGCAGTTGGCCTCGTACGAGATTCGGAATCCGCGGTAGGCGTTGCTGCTATCGGAGTTGAAGACAATAGTGGCCTCCTGGTCCTGAATCCTGATGAGTCGATTGCCCTCCTCTAGTTCCGAGCAGAGTGTAACTTTTGGCTGCTGCCCGGTTGTCTTTTGACCTTCGTAGATCTTTAAGCTGTCGTAGTAGCAGCTGCTCCAGGATTCCAGTTCGATGTCCTCGACGAGCAGTGCGATTTCAGATCCAGGGTGTACGGTTATTCGCCACTCACAGTTCGCCAGGTGGGGGTACGGATTCGGGTATCGTGGCGAAGTTATGACGCCCCTGTTGGCCTTTAAGCGGCCTCCGCATCCAGTGTTTAGCAGCCGCCACCTCAGCCTGAAACCGCGCCCGCTCCTGGCCACGTCGCTGTGAAAGATCACTCTCATCTCGTTGGTGTACCCGGGTAGCCGGGTGGGAATAGTTGTGCCGCAAAAGCGTCCAATTAACATGGACTCTGGTGAGCCGCCGTTCAGCACCTCAAGGTAGTCCGCCGAGCAATTGGCTGACACCTCCAGGTCGAAAACTTCGACCTGAATTTCTATTCTACTGCCCACGCTGCCGCTCAAGTGCCATTCACAGTGCAGGCCTTCGGAGTAGTTTGACGGGTACTGCGGGGAAGTGATTTCCCCGCTGGAGGAATGCACGTGGCCGCCGCATTCAGGCCGATCCTCGAAAGTATAGGCCAGCTCGAAGCCGCCTTCGGATTCACTGTAATCCGAGGCGAACTTGATGAGCAAGTGCCGGGAGTGGCTGAGCAAGTCTTCCGGCAGGCTGTGGTCGCAATATTTGCTCAGATATTGCCCATTCTTAACATCCAGGGTATCGTACACCTCCACATAGTCGTAATTGCAGTCCGAGCCGCCCTCCATGCTAAAGCTCAGCCAGTGCAGTCGGATCACCTTGTTGGCGGGCGCCGCAATCACCCAGAGGCACTCGACGTCAGGCTCATACTTTCCTTCCTCGTCCACATGCAGCCTTATGTTCTGTCCGGGCTTTGTGTAAACCCCACCGCAGTGGCCTGTGGCCCCAGGAAGAGCTGCGTACGTGAACTTGAAGCCCCGTCCACGAGTATTTGCGTCCGTGGTCAGGTGGAACTGCAGGAAGTTTGTGACGCTGATGAACTCCGTCTGCGGCTTGTTGCTGCCGCAGAAGGGTCCAAGGATACGTCGGTTCATCCCATCGTTGATCTGCAATCAAATAATTTTGTCCGATAAGACTTGTTGTTGTTATCGAAGTCTATCGATCTCAAAGCATCCGCCTAGTGTTGGTAAGCATGCAATAGGTATGCGATAGTATCGGGAGGATGAGGAAGGGCGGTCAAATTTAAATATACGTGTTTTTTTCTTATTGTTTAAAGATTTATAAAAATAAATTGGTCCCTTTTCGAAAGTGAATTAAAACTTACGCTCAAACTGGTGGTCAGGCAGGCGTCATCTTCCTCCCCGCCATCCAGGTCGAAATCAACCAGTTTCACTGTGATCACCGTGTCCACCGCCGTTTTCACTGTGAAGGTACACATCCTGTCCCGCCAAATAGTGGTGTTCGGGAAGCCCGGAGATGTTATAGTTCCCTCCGCACTGTCCAGTACCTGGGAGCAGGACATCTCATATCGCAGTTGGAAACGGCCGGAACTGGCGAAGAACTTTATCCTGAGGCGATTGAACTGGGAGGTGTAATCCGGCGCAGCAGCGACCACTGGGCCACAGATCTTCTCCTGCAGGATGGAGCTGCCTTCATCGTTGGCATCCCAAACCTCCAGGCAGTCCTTGGCGCCTAGCTCTAGAGTCTGGAACTTGACCGATACCACCTCACCTACAGCCAAGTGGATTTCGTACTCACAGGACACCAATTCCCCGGAGCCAGAGTCGGAGTCTGTGCCGGCGACTCGGCTGGTTCCAGAAATGGTGCCCTCTTTGGCGGTGTAAACGCCTCCACAACCGGGTATCCGCTCCTCCGCCGAGTAGTGCAGCTGAAAGCCGGTGTCAGTTCCATCGGCATCCGAGTGGAACAGGATCTGCGCTTCATGGGTGGGTAAGAGCAGTGGAGCTGGCTGCCCACTGGAGCAGTACTTGGCCAGCTGGCTACCAGAAATTACGTCTTTAACCTGAGGGTTTTAAAATGATGAATCATTTGAATAAATGGCAACGATTTCTCAACGTGGAACTCACCTCCACATAGTCGAAGTTGCAGTCAGTGTGCTGCTCCAGCTGCAGGCTGAAGAAGGTCAGTTTGATCCGTTTGGAATTGGCCACCACGAGATGCCACTGGCAATCACGGTTCTTGGGATAGTTGCCCGGTGATCCGGGGGAGGCCAAGGTCCCGTGAGTTTCGAACTCCACGCGGCCACCGCATTGCGGCAGCATTGAAGTCCAGGTCAGGTCGAAGCCAGCGGCTGCCGTGGAGTTGTCGGAGCGGAACCACAGGTACAGCTGGTTGCCGGAGGAGATGATGTTGCCGCCGTGGGGTAAATGGTTGCCGCAGTACCGCCCGATTATTTGAGAGGCAGCCGAGCGGCCATCATTCACCTGGAGCCAGTCGAAACGACACTCCGTCGAGTCCTCCACGTCGAAGGTGTGGAAGGTGACGTTCAGGACGAGGGACTCGTTGGTACGGATCACCCACGCGCACTGGGCGTTGTGCTCGTAGCCGGCATTCTCCGGCGGATACCTCAGCCGTCCGCTGGACGCACTGAGCAAGGAGTTGCAGCTGCTGAATCTCGTCGAGCAGAGCCGGTCCCGGTAGCCAGGAAGACACTGGCATACAAAGCCATCGCCTCCTTGGGTGGCCCTACAGCGTCCACCATTTTGGCAGGGGTTTGCGTTACAGGGGCTGGGCAGAGGCTCGCAGAGTGGAGGCCGGAAGCCACGTCCGCAAAGACAGGTGAAGTTGGAGGGGCCCACATCCAGACAGATGCCGTTGTTCTACGGAGTAATAGTGAGTTATAGAGACATTATCCTTAATAGAGGCTTCCTTACCAGACAGGGATTCGTGGCGCCGCAGTTTTTGGCAGTTCCGTTAACGCAACCGGAGGGACCGTATCCGGTGCCCACCATTCCAGCCGGACAGCTACACACTGCCGTGCCTGAGATCTCGAAGCAGTTGGCCGCCGGATGACACTGGCTCCTTCGCTGGGCACAGCTGCTTATGGTGGACAGCTCGGAGCTGGATCCGGAGGCAGGGGCCGGAGCCGGAGCACTTCGTTCGCACGACCTGCCATCGCCTGTCCAACCTACTGGACAGTCGCCGCAGTGGTACGACCCGAACGTGTTAATGCAATCCACCAGGGGGCTCTGGCTGCAGCCGCCGTTGTTGGTCTTGCATTCATCCAGGTCTTGGCAGCTCACGCCGTTCCCAGTCTGGCCAGCGGGGCAGGGGGCGCAGGTAAAACTGCCCGGCAGGTTAATGCACTTGGTGGAGCAGGGTGTGTGGGCGGCCGACTCCTGGCACTCGTCGACGTCCTCCCCACAAACGGGGGTCAGTCCATTGGTCTTCCAGCCGGCTTCGCACAGACACCGATAGCCCGTGTCGTCGGCGCTGGGGACGCAGGTTCCATGTCCGCATAGCTCCCAGGAGCTGGCCAGGGAGCAGTCACCCTTTCGCTGGGTGCAGTGCAGCCCGTGCCAGCCGGGAAGGCAGGTGCAGCTGAAGGAGCCCACGTTGTTCTGGCAGATGCCTCCGTTCTGGCAGCCCAGATCCGTGCCTTCGTACAGGAAACACTCGTTCACGTCCAGTTCGCATCGCGGTCCCTGGAAATAACCTCAAAACAGTGAGCAACGCCCCCGAATACTCCCCTTATTTTTTCTCCGCAGACCAACACACCTCGAATCCTGACCGGCACTGGCAACGGAATCCGTTGTATGTGCTGGTACAGGTGGCTCCATTGCTGCAAGGTCCACTGGCACAGTTGTCTGCCTCTAACTGGGTCTTCAGCCTGTCCAGCTTGGTCTCCGCCATCCGCAGCCGCGTCTGGTAGCGTCGCATTAGCGCCATAGAGCCACGGGATCTGTTTAAAGTCAGATCAGGACTCCATAAATCAAAGACGTGGTTCGGTGAGCTACTGAATCTCACCTGTTCTGCTGCTGGCGCAGAATGGTGTTCAAGCCATTAGGCCCAAAGGCTCGTCTATTGAAATCGGCCAACTGATCGGCCAGCTCCCGCAGATCCACATCCTCGCTGGCGCTCCACTCCTCGTTTTTGCTACCGCTGGTGGAGGATCGCTTCTTGGCGCCACCAGTGGCCTGGAGCAGCTCCAGGACGTCCAGGTCCTCATTGACGATGAGCCTGGAGCTTCCGCTCAGCCGGAAGCTGATGTTTCGATTGGCCCCGGACTCAAAAATTAGATTTCCATCCTTGCTGATAATTTTTGGCCTACAATATTGGGAAAATCAAGTCTAGTTCTCCGAATACCTTCGGCTGTTCCAAGGACTATTCTCTTACGAATTAGCAAAGCCATCCGCACCAGGTGATATATCCAGAATGTACGTTAGTATCAGGGTCAAATAAATCAGGAGTCTGCTCCTTCTGGCAGCTCCGTGCATTTTTATCACTTTTCACTAAAACAAAATAACTAAAAAAAAGTATTTCCCACCGAAAGAGACTAAAAAAAAGACCGATCCGTTTGGAAACCGAAAGACGACTGTGGCTCTCCAGATGGGTTTAGAGTTTCAGATCAATTCCGGGCGGAGCGGGGGCGTTACCCAAAGAGAACGCCCACTAAATCGGGAATGTCGCCACAGATAGGCCAAGATTAGACATTTTTGCTCATCAGTATTTGACTTTATTTTTGATTTGATTTTAATATGGAATGTAATATCAGTTAGGGATACAACTAGGCTGGGTCTGGGCAGGATTAGGTCTACTGGCACTGGCTCAAGGCGTGGGTGTAGAAGGTCTTCCCTTCCAAGCCCCGCTTGATGACATGGGGAATCTTCTTTGGCACCATGCTGGAAATTCAAAGAGAAACGGAAATTAGTAAGGATCACTGGAGGAGGAGAAGCAAAAGCAGTTGGAGGTCGGTCCTCACCTGATGCAGTCAATGATGGGGCAGACGGAGACGCAAAGGGTGCAGCCGGTGCAGTCGTCGTTGACATGGGGAATGTGGGTATCCTTGTCGAACTCGATGGCCTGGTAGCCGGAGTCGGCACACGTCATGTAGCACTTGCCGCAGTTGATGCACATGTCCTGCAAAAGGAAGTTGTAAGAAATCCCAAAAGAAACAATCCTTTTCACTCACATCATTGATCAGCGCCACCTTTTGCTGCTTATTATCCAGTTTGTTGTAAGGCCCGATCCTCTCCAGCGCCGCTCCAACGACATCCTTGATTCGGGGCGCCGGTTTCGGTGCGCTGCCATTCTCCAGGACTGGCGTGTCCTGGACAGCGCCCGTCTCAGCGTCCCAGAAAGGGCCCTTCTCACGACGCACCTCTTCCAGCTGAAGGTCGCGTTGGCGCTGGTAGGGCCCGAAGAATCCCAGGGTGGTGTTGCCCGACCCGGTCAGGCGCACCACCGGCTTGCCCTTCTGGTGGACCGGAGTGGGTGGCGACTGGCCGTCCCAGAAGGCGCCATTCGTCGGCGGTGGATTGGCCTTGAGGAAGAGCAGTGCACGGAGACTGGTGCAGTAATCCTCGATGACGGTGAAGTCCTGGTTCTGGACCGAGGAGCAGATTTGCAGCACCGTAGCGCCGGCCTGAATGAACTGAAGCGCCACCTCGCCGGAGTCTATGCCGCCGATGCCGAGGATGGGGAAGCCAGGCACCCGTCTGGCGATGTCCGAGATCGCCTTAAGGGCCATGGGCCGAGTGGCGTTACCGGATACGCCGCCGTAAGTGGTGCGCTGTTCCTTGCCGATGGCCGGCCAGGCGGTGGCGTCCGCCTTAAGGCTCATTAGGCCCTGCACGGTGTTGATGGCTGATCCGCCGTCCGCTCCGCCGCGCTTCGCGGCCTCAGCGATGGAAACGATGTCGGTTATGTTGGGCGTCAGCTTGATGAAGAAGGGCAGGGTGACGGCCCGGCGCACCCAGCGGGAGATCTGCTCCACGAGCTCCGGGTCCTGGCCACAGGCCAGGCCCATTCCACGCTCCCCCATGCCGTGCGGACAGGAAAGGTTCAGCTCGAGAGCGTCAGCTCCGGACTCGGCCGCCCGTTTTGCAAGCTCTGTCCAGTCAGCCTCGTTGAAGCTGCACATGATGCTGGCGATGATCACCTTCTCGGGGAAGTCCTTCTTGAGCTCGGCGATGCCGCGCAGCCAGTACTCCGCTCGTTTCTCCGAGATGAGCTCGATGTTGAGGAAGCAACCCTGCTGCGGGCCGTACTTGTAGCCGGAGGTTGTGCCCCGTACGATGCGGGGCGAGACATTGGTCACCAGATCCTTGTCCAGACCGAAGGTCTTGGTCACCACGAAGCCCCAACCCTGCTCGAAGGCGCGCCGGATCATGGCTGTGCTAGTGGTGGGCGGGGCCGAGGCCAGGCCGAAGGGATTCTCAAACCGGATGCCGCAGAGATCCACCGAGATGTCCACCTCATCGATGTCCGTGTAGAAGAGCGGCAGCGCCGCCGGAGTGTCCAGGGGGAGGCCCTGCAGCTGGCAGTGAATGCTCCAGGCGGCCACCTTGCCGTCGTTGACCGACTCCACGGTGGTGTTGGCAACGCCTGCCAGGTCTCCGCCCAGAAACACCTGCTTCAGGCTGCTCTGCATCGTCACACGGTCCACCACGGGCAGCTCCCCGCGGAACTCCAGTGGACTCAATGCCGCCTTCACGTCAGAATCCTCCAGTCCCGAACCGAAGGCCGAGATGACAAAGTTCGCTTTCAGTCGCACCACCTGCTCCTCATCCTCCACCCACGCATCCTTATCGTCCTGCTCGGTGCGGCAGAACTCCATGGCAGTAATCAAGCCGTCTTTGACGATCACCTTGCGGGGACTCAGATATGGGAGCAGCTCGCAGCGCTCGTCGCGGGCCAGCTCCACCTCCTCGGGCACCGCCCGAATTCCAGAGGATCCCTTCCGGAAGGCGACAAAAACGCGTCGCGCACCACACCTCAATGCCGAGGTGGCGCAGTCAAAGGCTGTGTCGCCGGCACCCAGGACTATCACATTCCCGTGAAGCTTGGGCAGGCCGGCTGCCGCCTTGCAGGCGCACAGTCCTGGCTTAGAGCCTTCGGACACCAAGGGCAGGAAGTTCTTGGAGGTGTAGAACCCGTTGCTGGCACTGAGCCCCTTGAAGATCGGGTTCAGCTTCGGTTCTGGCAGGCCAATTCCCACAAAGACAGCATCATATCCTTTTGACAGGAGACCCTAAAAAATTTAAAGAAACATGAAAACTTGTGGATTACCATTGGCCTAAAAAGCATCCCACCTGAATGGTCAAGTCCTTGGTGGACAGGGAACGTCCCGTCTCGATGCGCACGCCCAGATCCTTCACCAGCGAGATCTCAAAGTCCACGGCCGCGATCGGCAGTCGGTACTGTGGAATCTCGGAGGCACTTAGGCCACCCAGGTAGCTCCTCTGCTCAAAGATGGTTACGTCCCGGTAGCCCAGTCGGGCCAGGAAGGTGGCACACGAGAGCCCGGCGGGGCCGCCACCGAGGAGGGCGATCTTCTGGCCGAGCGGATTGGCCTCCGCCTGGGGCGTGCGCCGCTGGTGGACGCCCATCTGCTTGAACACCTCGGTTGCGAACTGTTGCAGGCCGCCGATGTTGATGGGGCCCGCCTCCGAGGCCTGCAGATTGCAGCCGCCCACGCAGAGATCGCTGGTGGGGCACACCATGCCGCAGGTCAGGCCCAGGGGGTTGTCCGAGAAGATCGCCTTGGCGGCCCCGTAGAAGTTCTTGTTGGCGATTGAGGTGATGAAGCTCTTGATGTCGAGCTGCGTCGGGCAGGACTTCTGGCACGGGGCGTCGGCGCACTTCAGGCACCGCCCAGCCTCCTCTAGGGCCGCTCGCTCCGACAGGGTGGTGTGCTTGATGTCCGAGAAGTCGTTGGCCAGCGTCGTGCAAGGCGGGGCGGCATGGTCGGCGTTCCGTTTCCAGTGCTTCTTGTTCTCCTTGGTCTGCTTCGTGGGCACCACCGTGCACTGGGTCTTGACTCGCGGGTTCAGAGCCAGCAGATCCTACGCAAATAGATTTCGATTCCGATCAGAAAAGAATTAATCCACAAATCGTTTAAGGTATTCCGCTTTGGAATCGGAGCAATATTGGCAAAGATATAGCCTTCGATCGGGGCGATATGAGACATCCCCACATTTCCTGGGGACTCCCTTGGAAAAAATTGAAAAAAATCGATCGAAAAATATATTTCTAGATTTTGATGCAGATTGGGAGAGGATTCATCCACAAATCGTTTAAGGTATTCCGCTTAAGAATCGGACCAATATTGGCAAAGATATGGCCATCGATCGGGGCCATATGGGACATCCCCACTTTTCCTGGGGACTCCCTTGGAAAAAATTGAAAAAAATCGATCGAAAAATATATTTCTAGATTTTGATGCAGATTGGAAGTGGATTGATCCACAAATCGTTTAAGGTATTCCGCTTTGGAATCGGAGCAATATTGGCAAATATATAGCTTTTGTTCGGGGCCAAAGAAATCCCTTAAAATCTATTTTGAAGTAGATCGATAAAGAATGGATCTAGTAATATTTGCAAGAACTCAAGTAGTGCCAAAATGTGGTTTCCAACGGACCATTAATTCTGTCTTAATTTTTCCAATTGGCACTTACTTAGTGGTATCTTATCACCTAACCTGCTTATCTAGCCAACGTGCTGTAAATTTGCCATTTGGTTAAAAGTATAAAAGATACATATTCCTGGCAGTGTACACCTGGACCTACCTCAATGTCGGGCGTGTCTTTGCTGAGAAGTTGTGGCGGACTCATCTCGAGGGTGGCTTCTGCAGTTCACCTGGAAGAAATGGGAAGACATTAGAGTGGGGATTGGCAGAAGCATATGACCCATTATCAGAGCCCCTAATCGGAATAGCCGGCCGCCTGGCTTCTTATCGGAGAAAAGTTGGTCCGCCGGAGGAACAACTGTATCTGTGAGTACTTTTAGCACCATAGTTGGCTTATTTATAAGGGCGTTATCATTTATCAGTCAAGGTTGCGACGGACATGGGAGATTATGCGTGGCGTGGCACCACCCCATTTTTTAGTTTTGTTTTTTTATTAATTGAAAGTTTTTCGGCGGCTGGAACAGTAAAAAATGGGGCCACCCCCCGAAGAGTGGGCCCAGATTAGGGGGACGGCGGTGAAGGTCTTGTTCATGGGAGGCCTGTGGTTCTATTTTTTCCGTTTGTTTGCAGAGAGATAATAAACTCAATTGGCAAACTGTTATGTTTGATCAAAGATAGATAGTTTATCATTAATGAGAGCATTAACAATGTAGTGCTCGTGCTCGTCTAGTTTTTATTACATAAATAAAAATGTAAATGAATGAAAACCTAATCAGTTGAATTGAGAAAACAAGTAGATTACAACACGTGTATTACAACACATTGAAAACTTAATCGAATAATTCAACTATTCGCTCTCCATCTGGCTCTCGACGCTCTCGGGCCCCCATTTTTTTTAGAATTTTGATTATTTTTTTGACACAATAGTTGAACCGTTAATAAACAACCTCCCCGCACAGCTGCTGGAGCCCCCCATGACCCCCATTCGGCCGCATTATCAGGTTTCTGAATATGTTTCTTCATTATGGATTCTCATGCTAATGTCGAAAATGCGAAAAACAAGTTCAGAACTCGGGCTGTTGTTTCGCCTTTTCATATTTGGACAACAAACTGTCCAGATACAGATACCCACCGATTAAAGATAGATTTTATAAATGTTGCTTTTAATTAAAACGGAAAGATGGTCTTTTGGGCAAGGCACACAGAAAAAAAAAACACAGATTCAAGTACTATCCGAATCACAAAACTACGAAACACACGCGGAAAACTGGGGAAAATAAAACGAATTGGTCTTCACACTGGAAACGCCAAATTGGAAATGATTCTTGGAGAGCAGTTTCACAACCCAAGTCGACTTTAGCGTCGTAGTCGGCGGCGCTGTCGCAGTCGAAGTCGCCGTCGCCGCCAATGCTATTTTCCATTATCGCCAAATAAACAATCCTACAACAAATACACAGAGTATTCCAAAAGTATTCACATGGAAAAGAAGTCTTGTCGCCATATACCATAGTCACCACATGAATATCTAAATGTTTGTATTAGAGGCGAATACTTTGGAACGCCACTGTATGTTTTCCGAAGCCACACGTCTAAGCAGGGGCGCCGGCGATAGGGTTTCTAGAAAAACCCCAGGCTAAAGGCAGCTATGTAGGGATTATATTCCTACCTGGAACTCCTACGTATTTGTATCTTTCTTTCCTATAAGTACAGGGAAAAAGATAAAAAAATAGAGTATCTAAAGTTGTTGTTTCTCATATATTCATGTAACTCAATATTTAAAAAAGATTCAATAAAGACCCCCTGTGCCACTCCCATGCCTCGCTGAGTTTACAAAGCTAACCATAAGATACTTTTCAGGGAGTGCCCTGGTACGATCGTTAGAAGTATTGATTTTACTCTCCGATTGCTCACTATTTGATTATTATAATAATATTGCAATATTGCAAAGAGTTCCGATTTCAGTTCTATGACTCGAGGGGATCAGATTAAGGAGCAATTGTATCTTCTAGCTTTATATGTATTTCATAGATTAATTTTTTACTAACTGATTTGACAGGTTAATAAACCAACCAACAAATATGGGCTTATTGAAAGCTTGGCTCTAAGCTTGGCCCATAAGGTTTATAAGAAATCTAAAATGATTACAAGAAATCAAAAAAAGATATCTATAGCCACTGTCTATAGCTCGTTTCTACACCGATTCTACATCACAAGAACAGCCAAAAAGTATGCTTTGAAAGTAAATCTAAAATTAAAGAATTCTTGGTTAAATTAAATAGGCGCAATATATAGAAGTATATTTGGAATATAAGAATAAATAATTGTTTATTTTTAAATACAAAAAAACCTGGCCAAATCATTAAGGTTAAATGAAGTATTCAACTCAGAGCCCAAAGGCTTAAAAAGCCATTCCCTTGAACCGCTAAAAGACAACAAGCATTTTAGAAAAATACTATCAAGTATATACTATAATTAGCATTTAGCAGAGACCCATTAAAAATTAGTATCTACATGCATATATAAATTCCTAATTTATTCATGTAAGCAAACAAACATTCTGCACGTCTCCAAATATTTTTGGACATGATGATCTGCGAGGGATCAGCCAGAGGCCGACCTATAGATACCTATATATAGCCCCATGGAGCTGTGATTTACGAGGCTGTAATCATTTTGGGTCATTAACTGACGGACATTGTAGGTGGCAAGCGGCAAGAGGCAGGCACATTGGCAGTGGCACATGACATTGGCAATAAACTTGAAATAATCCCGCGTCTGGGAGATCTGGGTACTAGGCCAATGGCAATGAAAATGCAACGGCTGCACCGCCCCCCACGGGGCGCCCATTAAAAAGGCATAAATTATACAGAGCCCCCTCTGGGCAAGTAAATCAGAGCATTTAATTAATAAACAATGCAACGCGGCAGGCGCGCAATAAATTACATTCGAAATGCATGCCAAAATAAGCAAGCCAATTGAGAATTTATTTTTCCCCATCACTCGGATAGCAGCCTGTTGACTTGAGTGGGGCTTTCCCCTTCCCCCCATCTCGCCTCACCGCTTTTCCGATTTTTCACTTTTCATATATTTTTGGACGGGTATTGTCTCGGACAGGCCCCATCAGGACCCATTGTCACATCGCTCATTCATTCTTAAAGGGTCTTGAAGGTTGAAACACATTCAAGTCGGCTAACAAGGTGGTTCAGTAAGGACTCAGGGGATACCCTGTAGAAAGCGTCTTAAGTACTGGACGTTATTCTTGAAGACGAAGCGGTTCCGATAGCAAAATAAGATGTGAACCCCCGATGAGACCTGATCCTGCCAGTTATCACTAGTTTTCAGCTTTAAACGAATTTTCTCTTAGTCCATCACGCCCGCTTGTAACCTACCCTCTATGCCGAGGGTATTGCCAAACAAATGTCATTTTAGCGAAAAGAAAATGCGTGCAATTAATCAAGTTAAAGCGACTGCAAGATCAGAGTCCCCCCTGGTCCACGACGTCCATGTCGTGTCACTGAAAAAATGGCGCGAGCTAAAAGCCATTTGTGATTAGAACAGCCACATGCGACAAGCTCCTCGAGTTTGGGCCTTTCATCTGGGGCGACAAGGCAATATTGTGGACTACCATGCTATACTATATGCAGAATAACCTACCAGATACGCATACCAGCTAAATAGATAGATAGATAGGTGGATAGATCGACGGATAGATACACGTCGCCGGGGCTCATTATTTTCATCTATATGCAGCATAATTTATTGGCATTTTTATTATAATTTTATTTATGATTTCTGAGTCTTCAAATTTGTTTGGCTCGGTTCTGTTCTGCAGAGCTTTATTGTTATTATTGCAGATATATGTAGGTATCGAATATATAGTGCACACGTATCAACATGTATGTACATATATCGGGGCTTATGAACAACCCGATCTATAGGATATATCCATCTGTTCGCAAAGCCATCTATTAAGATCACCCGATGACATCGGAAGGCGGTAAGGCGAAGGCTCTCGAACAAATTGATGAGACAGGTGGAGCCGAACCGAGCAGGAATCTATATATTTTTCATATATCCCCCTACTCAGATATATATATTGGACATGATGCTCTTCCGCAGTGAGTGAGAGATTTATTTAATTACCTCGATGTACACGATTTTGCCATTTAATGAGCAGTTTACTGAATTAAATTCGAAATCAAAATCAAATTCGATTCGCTTCCCGATCGACTATCGACGGTCTGCAAATTCCCATTCGCTGTTTCTATACAAAAACTTATGAATATGAATATATATTAAATCGCAAACTGTGGCCAGGAGGGGGAACCGGGAGGGGACTCGTGGGCGCCTCAAAATAGAATATGGCCGCCAACTTTAACGGCCGCCCAAAGTCGACTGCAACTTTTAATGGCGAATAAAACAAACGGCAAGCAACCGAATCGAATTAAATGCCTCACAAATTTATGAATAAAGTCCACAAAGTTTTCAAATTGTTTTCCAAAATAATTCTATAACTTACAGACTGGCAAAACAATACAGCTTTTTGATGACTTTTTCGGGTTTTTATGGACCATTTTCTTGGCAGAGCCTTTCTCTGAATACATCCATAATTCGAATACTTTGTGAATTATTTCTCGGAATGATCACTCCCCGTTTCAGATTAGTGTATTTGCAGTATTATTTCGAGAAATATTCGCGACTAAATGGATTAAAAAACGTTTGTGACAAAACGGTTCCAAAGCCCCCCCGAGACATTGGCGATTTTGGCACACGGTTTCCAAGGAATTAGGCGCTCGTCGAGTATAATTTTTAATTTATTATAAATAAATACAATAAATACAAATACAGATACGATTATTTAGTTTAGTAGACACAAGAACAAAACTAGGGGGAGGTCACCCGGGGGGGCGGACGTGGGGACTGAGTGGGGTTGGGGGGACTAGCACTTAATTTCAATTGTATTGGTCGAGAGACTTTTCAAATAAGAACCCGAACCGAAATTCCGCCCGAAATACACAAAAAGAAAACTCCCAGTTAGTTTGCTATCAGCTATCCTCTAGACGGACTCGGCCAGCGGCGGAGGAGCCGGAGCGGTGGCAGGATCTCCCGCCGAGGATGCGGAGGTGCCTGCTGCCGCCTCGGCCGCTTGCTCAGCCTCGAAGGCGGCCAGGATCTTGTCCGCCTCGGCGGCCTTTGCCTGGAGCTCCGCCAGCTTTCGCTGCTTCTCGGCCTCCTCAGCCTGCCGCTTGGCGCGCCGCTCCTCCTCGCGCTTGAGCAGCTCCTCCAGCTGGGTGCGCAGCAGGGAGTCGCCCAGGCCCAGTTTGTCCATCACTTGGGTGATGTCGCGGCTGTAGCGTAGCCGGGTGTTGGCCGCCAGCTCCTCGGAGCAGTCCTCCCGGCCCACCTGCAGCCGCTGGAGCACCGTCATCTTGGCGTCGATCACCACGTAGTTGGTATCTGGGATGAAGCTTGCGCACTTCTCGTTCAGGTACTGCACCAGGGTCCGCAGCGAGTTCGAGTTGGACTTGGCGTTGATGGCACCGCTGGCGAAGTCCTGGGACTTCATCATCTGGGCGTGGGTGGACTTTTGCTTGCACTCCAGGCAGTTCCAGTTCGGATGGGGCAGTCCGGTGATCTCCGGCACCACCAGGCCCGTGCAGTTTGTGTCCCGGCAGTACAGGCCCGAGATGAAGGCGCCTTTCTCCTGCGGGAAGATCCAAAAAAGATATTAGTTGTGATATTGACAATTAACTTCCCATGGAGTCCTTAGTTCCAACCCTAATCTCTCACTTGATAGACCATAGACCATATCCAGACTACATTGGGTTCTTGGGAGCTAAACACTTGAGATTCTTGGCAAGTGAATCATTGGGGCCAAATGTCTCGGCTAATGAAAATCATTTTCGCATTGTTGGGATTCCGATTCCAGCTAAAAATAATCCCAAAGCGATTGGGATGGGATTGGGTGAGCTGCTCCCCCTCCTCCTCCCACTTCCCCTAACAAGAATATCAGACATAAAAGTATATATCCGTGCCGATCTCTGAGATTGACAAAATAAATAAAAAAGATGTCGCTACGTGTGCGTTTTAATATTCGCTCGTGCGATCGATAAATATCCCCGCACACCGGTTCCTAAAAGTAACATATCTGTATCTCCGACTACATGCTAGATAGATCTCTACCTCCAGATGTATCTGTATCTGTATCTGTCCTCCGCGGCCACGTCATCTCCATTAAATTCAAAATCTGTGAATATGAATCCGAATCGCTTGGCCAATTTGCTTGATCGTAAATTAAGCCAGATAATTAATGGTTCCGATCCGCAAGATTGGCCCAAAAACAAGAAGAATCCGGAGCGGATAACGGATGATGGAAATCCGTGAAATCGAAAGCAAAGGAAACGATCGACGTGCGCCGCTTCTAAATATATATTTCTTTGAGTGTATTAGCCCTTTGCCAGTTCATCGAAACAATATAAATCACACTATATTTTGGGGGTTTGGGTCTAAAATAAAAACACCAACACGTGCCAGAGTCAAGGACTCTTCCCTTGACATTTTACAAATTACGATAATAGATCTGGGGGGATAAGACATAAAGGTATAACAAATGGACTTCCCCTGAGACCTACAATAGAGTTTTCATCTTCTGGAATTTTTTAATCTAATCATCAATCACAAAAACAACCTGCTTGTGAATTTTAAGTTCCCTGTCAGCGCCAATCGTTTGATTTCAGAAATATGTTATATACTCGTATTTAACAAAGAACAAGAGTATATATATTTCTGATCAGAACGCTTTGAAATAATTCCGGGGACCCTAGCAGCTTATAATCACAAGTTTGTCGTCATATTTGTGATTTATGAACTCTGCCTGGTGTTCAAACTTTGAACACATTTCGAAATAGAATCTTTGCCAATTTTTTGCCACATTCCTTTGATAAATAATGATTGTACTTATATCAGTCCATATATCCTTCGATCTGCATTTATAGTTTGACTCTTGAGTGGCAACAATGTATTGTTATTGATTATTTTGGGGCTCGTTATTAATTTGTTTGAATTGGGAGAAACTTTTTATGGCCCATTCGTTCTGTGTTTTAACTGCCTGCCATTAATATTCCTCCCGGAATTATAGTCTCTTTTTCCTGCAATTAAGACAATTAAAGTTAGTATTATAATGTCTTTCTTTTCTCTCTAGCGGCTGAGATGGCTTCTGTATGGCCCAATAAATGGCCAAAACAACAACAACTTTGGAAATCAAAATCTGAATTCAAAATCAAATCAATACCAACAGCGAAATTCCATAGAGAACATATAGAGAAGATATAGATTGTCGTTCGCACAGCGACTGGCCCATTTCGAAAATATTGCCAAGCGAATTAAAAAGCTTTTTTGGAATCCATCTATTTATTTGTGATTTAATTGAATTGTTTTCAGCCCGTTAAAAATAAACAAAATTGTTTATCGCCTTGTTTTGTTGTTTTATTTTTTGGGGCTCGGTTGGTGTGCCACTTGTTGCGCCTGGAAGGTATATATATATATATATCCAAAAGATATTGATGGCCAAGATCAACAACGCCAACGAGGAGAACTTGTAATTGAAAATCTTTAATTGTTTTCGGATGAATTTTTTGATGCGCGCCGGAAATCCTTAATGCAAGTGTTCCCATCCATCGAGAAATCGGAAAAGCGAACTCAACAAATGTGGAAAATCAAAAAGAAGCTACCCGATCTCGCTTCTTTGATGGATCATTCCAAGTAGTTTGGCGAAAAATTTATTTCACACTCCCTTGTGGGAAATGAAAACACGAAACCCCAAAGACACTGCCGACCTCAATCGCCTTCAGCGAAACAATAAAGATGTTTGATTATTTCTTCGGTCAATTGGTCAAATAGTTTATACAGCTGGCCCATCGATCATCAGTGTCGATCCAATTGGCCAATTGCTGATCAAAAACATGGCCAAAAATCATAGCCCATAGACTCCAGAGGCACTTAAATTTTCGGCCATAAAAGCGAACAATAAAAAGGCCCTAATATGATAGTTTATGGCTCTGATTCCTACTCCTACTCCTATGTTTTCTTTTTAGGAATACCAAGGATATAGATCCATCGGGGAATCCAAGGACTTTAACTCTTCATTTCTTCAAACCATTATCCCTAAACTCATCCCAATCCCAAGAAAAGAGCTTCTACTCACCGTTGGATCTGAACAGCGTGGACACTTGCAGGTGAATCCCTTCTTCATCTTGAGGAAGAGATGACGGGCTATGTTGCCGGTGAAGAGCTTGGTGTAGGTGGTGGTGATCTCGAAGCCCTCCGGGATGTCGACGGCGGCCCGGACGAGCATGTGGTTGGTCTTCTCGTCGAAGGTGTAGTACGAGTTGGGAATGCAGTCGTGGTTCATCACCCCGAAGAGGGGGTAGAGGGCGCGGTAGTTGAACTCCTGGTTGTCGTTCGTCCGGTCGGTGGTCTTGTCGAAGCCATTGGTCCTCATCACGGCGACGGTGCGGTTCATGATCTCGATGAGCTTCTTGTCAGTGGGGAAGTTCTTGAAGCACTTGGCCGCGTTCCGGACCTCGGTGCGATGGTTGTTGTCCAGGTTCGCCTGCAGGCAGTAGATCAGATCGCGCTGGTCCTTGGTCAGATTGATGGCCCGGGCGATGCACAGCAGCCGGATAATCACCGAGTTGGCCACCTCCGGCTCGTTGGGACCCCAAGACTTGAACATGTCGCAGTCGGTCTTGTGCTGCTTTTTCTTGGCGCACAAAGGACACACCGGTAGTCCGCATCCCTGCCGGCACATGAACTTCGTGTCTGGGAGTTCCTTCAGGCACACGGTGCACGCATTGAGCGCATCCTCCTCGTGGGCCGCCAGTCCCATCAGGAGCGGGCTATCCTTGAAGATGACCTCGCCCCGCTTCAGGCTCCGAGTGGCCATCACTCCGCGTCCGGCTATCTTCGAAACGCCGATCTCCCAGGCGGGATCCTTGTCCTTGAAGGGCGCCAGGTGGAGGTCCAGCAGCTCCGAGGTTCTCTTCGGGCAAATCATCTCGATTCTGTATGTTTTTCCGGATGTGGTGTTAACTTTTCCAAGCACGACACTTCGAAATCTCACGGATACGAAACACTCAAACAAAAAGGCACTGAGTTTAGTATTTAGTTTAGTTCTTTCAAGGATCTATGAGATCACTTTGATAGCAATTTGGTCTTTCCCGATCAGATCAAATATAGATCAAGCTATAGTCAATAGTGTAGTCTTTAAAAACTTTATAGTAAAACTAAATTTTGAAGTTTATGAATAGTTTAAAATCCTCCTGGACACCGATAATATATCCCTTCGATCTGTGATTCTATATATCTGATCTTGATCGCTTCTCTGGTTGTATGGGTCTATAGCCTGCAGCGTTTATTTCGCGACTGCCGTGAGTGAACTGTCGCCATGTTCCAGCCTTACATGATTTTTATGTGAAAAGTTCAGCGGAAAAGCCGAAAATTCGAAAAAGCACACAGAACCGAACGAAAGCCACCCGAAGATCCCCGATGACGAGGCCAAGCCAAAAAAAAGATATAAAATAATAATAATTAAGCGAGTCGCGATTCTCAAAAAGAAATTGTGGGCGGGACAAGCAGGAGCAGGAGGTGGCAGGCGACAATCCCCGCCAGAAATCCTGATGCCCACTTGGATGGATTGATGAACGGCGTGCGGATTCCGAGTGATATGATGGGAATGTCGAGAAGGGGACTCACACTCAAAAAAAAAAGTCAATTATATTTAAATCTTAGATTGAATATATTTTATATTTTTTTTTTCAATAAAAATGGACAGATGATAATACTCATCTCCCAGAACTTGGGCACTCAATCCTGGGATCACATTTGTTTTTCTGTGCAGTTGAATGGACGGACAGATGGATAGGTTATCCGGACGTATGACTTGTCGGCTGGCGGATGTACATTTGAACATTTTTAAATGTCGGTACATACAAATCGGCATGGATTTGTGCTCTTCTGACAGCGCTCTGGAGTTGCGCCAAGAATGCCACCCATCACCCGGAATGATGAACGATCTCTGCCGGAACGGGTGGAGTGGGGTGTGGGCCGAGGTGTCTGTGACTGCGGGAGGAGGCTTAAGCCACTTGAGTGGACCGGACAATTGGCTGCGGAAGTAATGACCCCAGAATATAATTTCACAGTCCCGGTGTTTTTCTATTTACGATTTAAATTAATTAAATTACACGGAAAATAAATACTCTTCCAAATAAATATTTATTCTTACAAGGATGCTTCCAAAAAGTATAAGAATTACTACATATTTGGATATCCAAGCGATCTTCAGAGATTATAGGGACTTATAGAGATTATAGGGCGATGGGTTATCCGAGCTTTCACAATCAATGTGTTCCTCGTAAAGATTCTTCTTCTGTCCAATTGCATAGAAGGCTGGAATAAACTGGGTCATTTATCATTAAAGGCTATGGAGTTTAAATACCTTTTTCATTATTTTTAAAAAATATGTTCAATTTTAAACACCAGATAAGCTTAATTAGGTGTGGGGCTTTGACAGATATGCATCACGATAGTATCTAAGTAAGTACCACCTCTATGTATCGGAAAGTGCAGCCTAAATGGGGGAGCGAGAGAGTAGTGATGGCCAATGGGGGTTCAACCAAAAATTAAAGCTTTGCTAATTCGGTTTTTTTGCGGAAGCGAGATGGGGCGAAGGTACCCAACGGTATATAGAGTCATTGCACCTGAGTGGGTGAGAGGAGATGGGAAAGTTTACTTTCTCCTGGTTTCTGATAACCTGATGCATTCAGGTTCGTTTCCAAGGGAGTCTTGCCTACTTTTTCGACAAAAAACACGAGATATGATCGTGGAAATGCGATCCCAAACTAATTATAAATACCAAAATTATAAATATATATGTATAATTATTATATTTTTTGTGCACTGATCATGAGTCGAGGAGATGACACCACAACAGCGAGCCAAATAAACTTAATGAAGGCGACAAATTGCAAATTGGCCACTGCCTGCACTTTCACCCGCCCCCCGCCCTTTCACTACGCCCCTGCTGTCGCATGTGGCAATAACAACGAAGAGAACTCACGTGCATTCGCAGAGACTGCAAATTGGCTCAGAATTCTGCATTCGCGAATCTTCCGACAGCGGCAAACAACTTTAATTTAATGAAATGCATATGCAAATGAATAAATATCAAAATATGCAAATCAAGCAGCCAATTCCGACTAAAATATTATAACGAAATTCGATGTATGCAAATGGCTTGCAAAATATGCACAAACTAAAAGGAAAAACCAGAATAAATTTAAAAAAAAAGGCCTGAAGAAATAACAATTTATTGGCGCTTTGACGCGTTTTTGCCCCGCTCCGTTGGCAATGAAGAATTTGGCGCCACCATTGGCCATGTCGTCGTCCATGTCACCAAAGTGGTCACGGCGGAAGAACCCCACCGCCCCCAGTCCCCCCGATGGACAACATCCACAAAAAACCGAGAATCGCTTGGCCACTTACACACTTCCGCATTTAAAATAAAAAATTTAATTGAAACGAAAATGAAAATGGCGAGGAGTGAAGTGAAAACTAATTACAAGTTAATCGGAACGAAAACACTTTCGAATATATAATCCAAAATCAAATGCATTTAAAAAAAACACACAGCTACCGTTAGCCCAATACTAAAATAATATGTTTGCCAAATGTAAGAAAATAAAGAAATGAAAAGGTGTCACTGAAGCCTTGAACCAAATGCATAATACCCTAGAAGGAAAATATTACTCATACGCATGGTTGGCCTTCGAAATAAAAGTGGAATAATTAATGGCTTTGTTTTTAATTAATGATATTTTAAATCGTTATGTTAAATATTAGGTTTCATCATACCCCATTTATACCCTTTGGTAGAACGCCCAAAAATATCTATGAAAATTTTCGGAAAATGTGTGCCATTTGCCTCCCCCTCTGGTTGTTTTTGTTTCGGTCTTAGTTTTAGTTTTTTTCCTCCTCTTTAATTTTCAGAGTCAATTAAAAATTGTTAATTTTACTTATAATTTTAAGGTAGGCTAAAATGCAATGCGACGACGAAAACGACGACGGCTAGCGACACAAAAAAATATTGCAATTAAAATTTTTGCGCGACTTTGTCACGAATTCGGATGCTCTTGGGGGGTGGTGGGGGTCACTGGGGAAGATGGCGGCAAATTTGCCGTTGAATGAACCGCTACTCATCCCCGTGCCGTCCCGTTCTAGCGTACGTCAGTCAGTTAACGGAACCGGGAAATATGTCTCTCGACATGGAAGGCTAATACCGTTGATTGGAAGTATATGCAAAATGTTATGGAATGGGAATGGAAATGGTTTGTTCACCTCATCACGCACTCGATTTGAGTTTAATTGCATTTTCCGTGAATATAATTCAAATATTAAATAATATTCAAGGAAATTAAGGAAGCTATTATATGCCAAGAACATGGAGAATGTCAAAAGGCTGAATTTGAAGTTATAGAAGTATATAGAAAGGTCATTGTCTGACATAATATTCAAGAAATATTAAAAAATAATAGAATATTACTTGAATATTATGTATTTGTTATAGTTTTTGATAAAAAATATATTTTATTAAAAGTCTCTTGTGTCTTTTGGCTAAAATTTTGCATACTTTTTAGCGCCACACTTCAATCTGATGTGTTTATTGTGTAAATAATTGTATTGTTTCGTGGAAAGTAGCAAAATATAGCCTCATGTAGGCCGATTTAGGCCAAAATCCAATTGGATACAAAAATATATTTCGGTTTGGGTCACTCTTGGCATTTGAAATGGCGGGGCATGGGGCAGATGGCGACCATCACGGGCATGCCAAACTTCATTCACCCCAATGCCAATTACCCGGCATGGACATTTTCAATGCCCCAGTCCCCAGACCCCATGTGGTCCCAAGGAACCAGAAAAAGCATTAGAACTTTGCATTTGATTTTAATTCACATAAACGCAATCAATTTTATTGCTCTCGTTGCGGTTGCCTGTCGAATCGAATTCGATTTGATTTGCTTTTGAGTGCGCGCGATGTTTTTCTTAGCGGGGAAGTGAATTCGGATTTGGATATGGATTTTGATTTTGATTTTGATTCTGATTTGGATGAGGATGTGGTATCGTCATGGACTCTGCCTTCTGCGCCGCCATTGGCAAGGTTAACCCGCCCACATCCACATCCACATCCACAACCCACCATTCACCGTTCCACCTCAGAAATCAGCAAAAAGAAAAGTACTTGTTTACAAGCCAAACGCCAGCGTGGAATGTTACGAAAATGTTTCACCTCCGGCTGCTTCTCCTACTGCGCTCCATATGCACATGATCTGAGGATGATCCACATACAGTGATCCATCCGGATCCATGTATGTATGTGCTAACATAAAGCAGATGACGACCAGCAGCTGCCCCTGCCAATTTTGCGCCTTACAAAACAACTCGAAAGCCAGGAGCACCCTGGCACCATACAGACACACATACTATGTACATATGTGTGTATATATTTATCGTCTATGGCATATACAAAATAGAACACCAGTCTGGGTTTAGTGGACAATATCTGTTTTCATGATTATTTACAGAAAGTTTCAATTATCAATCGTGGATTAATGGAAAATGACTCAGAAGTTAAAACCCAGCCCTTTATTAACGCCAAGGTGCTTCAAAGAAAGCCAATTTAGAGATGTGAAAGATACTCTTCGGGAAAAATAGCACCTAATAATTTTCCTAGATCTTTAAAGATACAATATTCCAGATCGCCCTATTAAATAATAATTCTTTAAGAGTAATATGATCATAATACCTTTTTTTTAGTGCAACCGTCATATCCGTCATAATATCGCCATCAATACCGCTAGTAATCGATAGTTAGAGATCGTAAAGTGGGTCGTGACACATCGCCAATAAGGAAGTATCGAATGCTGGAAGCAGCACGTGCTTGCGCTTTTAAGCTCGGCATTTTTTCCAAAGGAAGTTGATTTATTATCTTTTGAGGTAAGTTGGATTCTTCGAAGATATATTTTATAAACCTGAAGACACTGCATTTCCAGGAAGCTGGTGTGCCACTGAGAAAAAAAATCGTGTAGGCCGATTGTTGAACGTAGTAGGTTATAGCTGCTAAATTCGAAAAGATGTTGCATTAGAGCAAATCAAACTGAGACCTTTGATCATCTATTCGGATTACCAGAAAGCATGAAAAACCGAAAAGTACGCGAGTTTGCTAAGCCGGAAGAGGATCCGTTGGAGTCCATCTCGAATGGCAGCACCGATGGGAACCATGCCAACGCAAGCCCAACGGCAGCCGCTCCCTCATCCCCGCCGGCGTTGCGTTCGCGTCCACCCTCCTTCCGAGTGGCCGGCCAGTCGTCCCCAGAGCTGGGGCCTGGTACCGAGCCGTCGTTTCTACATGAGCCAGAGCTGCAAGGCCAGAACCACAAACAGCAGCAGCACGAGGGAGAAGATCAGACGAAAGTCGAGGCGGAGCCCTCGAAGGTCGGTAATCCGGACAGCATTTTAATCGGCGCCGCCGAAAAGCTTCTGAAGCAGCATCTACAGTCGAATCAGCAGCAACCTATGGATCAGGAGCAGCTAACTGAGGCCGAGGGCCAGGGAAACGCCGTCACTGCCGTCGCTGGCACAAGCGGTGGGTGTGAGGCAGGAGCCGAGGCCAAGGCCAACGCTGTGACTGGGAACTCGGCAGACACGGAGAAGAAGCGCTGTGACAAGTGCGGCAAGAAGCTCGGCCTGACCGGCGGATTCCCCTGCCGTTGCGGCGGCACCTTTTGCACTTTCCACCGCTACAGTGACCGCCATGAATGCAATTTCGACTACCGCAAGATGGGCGCTAGCGAGATTCGTCGCGACAATCCCGTCATTGTTGCCGACAAGCTTCGGAAGCTGTGATCTTCTTGAAGCTGGACCACCGCCGGCCGGAACACCGATCGACCGACCGACCGACAATTCTGATCCCTCTGATGTTTATATTTTCTACACACCTCTACACGGAACTGTTCACGCCAATTGCCTATCACCTTGCATATAGCGGAGAAACAGGTAACATGAATCGGATCAACTAGGAGCCGAGAACTGAAAGCAGAGAAGTCGAAGCCAACACCCATAATATAAACTGCAAGCCATAAGCTACAAGCCCTCAGCCATCAGCCAACAGCCATCAGCCGAAACCAAAAAACCAAAACTGCCTTACATTCAACAATAACCTAAACTACTAAATATAATTAACAAAATCGCACTATTCACGATATATCTAGTTGTGGAAGCATCAAAAATATTCTATAAAAGGCAGGCGGATAATAAAGAATAAACTGCCAGAACAACAAAAAGTTAATTTTTTCCATTTTTTCATTTATTTGCTTTCCATTTTGACTATAAGAGTTTGAAGTTGAAACATTTAAGTTCAATAAAAAATATATACTTTATTATAATAAAATACATTTACATATCAGAGTTTTAATTTTAATTTTAAGAAGCAAAAAAAAGAATTTTAGTCTAAAAGCATTTAAGAACTTGGGAAAACAAATAAGACCTTTTAGAAAGAGTTTCTGATACATGAAATGGGTATGTTTGAGTATGGATATGGATATGATTATAATAGGTGGAATAAGATATATATTCTGATAAAATGCGGTTAAATCAATAAATTGCTTGTATGTTTACTTGAATAGATAAGTAAACCTGTATATAAAGACCAATATAGGAAATGATTAAGTTTAATGCCATAAAAGACCTTTATAATGTGGTCTGTTGATAAAGTATAGGTACCATTAAGGTATAGTTTGTATAGTTGGTTAGTCTGAGCTTTAAAATGCATATAAGTATTTATGGTGTGGAAAATAGAAAATAGAATCGAATTTAGGAAACCTCTGAAAGTCAACATATCCTAGTCGTTAAGTAATCTTTTGGTACCAGGGGAGAATGTTTTGGAAACATACTCCCTCCGGCTGAGTACGATTTGGAGATCAAAGTGATCCAACTTATTTTAGTTTGAAGAGATTTCTGGATTTTCTGCAGGCAACGAAGAGAAGAAACTACTTGAAGAGAAGGGGCAGACGGCAGTGGGGCTGAGTCTCGCTGGGATTGTCCGAGTACAAGGACATCGTCCTGGCATTGAGATCGAAAATACCAACGGCAATAGTCTTCACCACCTCGTCGCAGCTGCCGTTCTCCCGCCACACGCAGTAGACTCCGCCGGACACGTCGCCCAGCATGTGCCGGACATCCTGTTCGCTCATTGGCGGCTTGTAGGTCCCAAAAGTCTGCATCCTGGAGATGCTGGAGTCAATCATCAGCTCATTGGCTTGGTCCTGGCGGATCCGATCGAATCTGCGGAGAGAATATAAGGTTTTAAAAGAATGTAGGAATAGTCCTGCAGATATACTTACTGATTGACGTGGTAGTTATGCTCCCCAATAGGTATCTCCTTGATACTCAAATAGGACTCGTTCTTCCGCTCCGGTGACGGAGCCACCTCTACATTATAGCACATCTGACGGGGGTCACTGGGGTAGCAGGGTACCAGTTAGTAAAATATTAAAAAAGTGATTCAACCTATAACCTACGCCAGAAAGGTGAAGTTCACAGAGCAGGCATCCGCAGCGCCCACTCCTGCATCTTTGAGCACCCGGAAGGCATCGTCCACATTGCTGGTGGCCAACAGAGCTCTTGTGAGGAAATGACGAGCTACAGAAACATATAAATAATTTTAATATAATTAGAATTAAAACAAAAACTATAAACATACGAGTTTTTCCACTTCGCAGTAGCTCCGCACTGATGGTATTGATGCTGAAGACGAGTCCATGGTGATTCTGGTTCATGGTGTAGCCCGGCAGGTGTCCTGCGTAGCAGAGGGACATGAAGTGCTCCTCCTTGACATTGTATTTGCCCTGCGGCTTGTCGCTGATGATGTGGGCCACCACAAAGTAGTAATGGTTAAGGGTCTCCGTTAGGGCGTCCTCTGTGTGGCCCAAAAGTCGCTGGAAATAATAGCCTAAGTTAGATCCCGATTGTCCAATAAGAGTTCTACAAGCTTACGCAATTCTTCTGGTTCACTATGATGGTGGAGCAGCCAGTGGGCTGGTTCTTGTTACGTGGCTGGTGCTTCAGAGCCTGCGGCAGGATCTCGTCCAGGTGGAGAAGGAATAGCTGTGGATAAGATATTAAATAGTATTATTAATTTCAATACTTTGTATCAGCCTCAATGACAGATGCAAATCATACATAAACTAAACTCATAATGCTAATTACAATCTTAATTAGTAAATACGATTAATGATTAACCCGTTGGGGCACTTTGATCCCCAGCTAATTATGGATTATGGTAACATTGTAATGAAAGTAGAACCATAAATGGCCATAAATGCATTCATAATTCGAAAAAGATTACCCAAGTGCTGGAGGCACCTGACAAAACCTGAGATTCAGAGAGCATTAGGCCATGTCTGGCCAAGATCACTGGCCAAGACACTGGAAGAATCTCAACAGTATGTTCTTAGATATTTTTGCATCTCTTTGAGTAATTTTTTTTCAGTGCCTGCGTGCGAATAGATTCAGATGCGGCCAAGGTCGTCATGCGGCGACTTTTGCGTGCAATTAATTGGCAGAAACGCCACTGCCACAGCCACAGCCAAAGTCAAGTCTCGGGTCTCGGATCGAAGATCGGAGGAGATCGCAGAAATTATAACACATTATCGGCCCCCACTTGGCCCCCATGCTAATGAGCCGTTTAATTGATGGCTCCAATCGGCCAGGCCAATCCCCGGCCATTTGGAATTCAAACGACAATCGAATCCCAGATCGAAAGAAGAAGCCAACCAAGGGTTTGTCAGCCGTCTTTAGCCGGCTTCTCTTCTCTTGACGGCTTTTCTGTATTTTTTATTACATTGGCCAAAAAGACAAATTGGCTTTGAATTCGTGGAGGGGAGGCATTCGTGGAGACTGTAAATACCCTTTTTTTATGTGAATTTAATGTCGATAAAAAGCAGATCTGTCTTTCACATTATTCCCATTTTGTTTGCTTTTTATTCAAGTTCTCTTTATGGCCCCCCCCCCACTCCCCCATGTGGGGGGTCAACGTTAGCAGCGACGCGAGCAGAAGCAGCGACGCCGGCAAAACGGAACTAGTTCAATGTCTGCGCGCTCTGCACGGTCACCATTTCGATTTGTGATTGCGCCCGTACAGTAGTCACTGCCTAAGTGCCACTGCCAACCCGTAACAGTTAATTATTCAGCTAATTATATTATAATTATTCCGATTCAGATCGGAGAGGATTGTGCAATCACCAAAGTCCGAGTCCGATTCATTAAAAAACGAAATTAGAGGCGCAAACTAACTGACTAATTATTTATTTTGTATTGTATAAATAAATAAAATTTGCTTTCTAGCTAATTAGTGTTTGGCTTAGCCAATTATCACTGTAGGCCGTGCCGAGCAGTGCACTCGCAAATTGCATTTAATGTTGTCATTGGGACTTGAACTGCCAACTGGAAACAGACAACCAACAATAACAAGCAACACGCAACACCCAACACGTCACTAGTTGCAACCTGAGGTTATCTATCGCTAATACTGGCCAATACAAAAGATATAGATAGGTAAACAGTTAGAATCGCGCCTCCCACGCCACTATTGGCGTTAAATTACAATATTTATGCCTAGGCTTTGTTTTAATGGGCCTTTAATTGCGGGTTAGTGCCAAGAATTAGCTAATGCCTGGCTTATTAGCTTATTAGCTTATTAACTTGTTAACTTATTTACCGTTCGGGTGCTAATTAATTAAGTTGGAGGAGCTCACCTTATGGAATTCCACCTCCGCGCCATCGGCCACGCCCTCCAGTTCGCGGACATACTGGGGGAAGCTGTCCTTCACCGATTCGAGGGTCTCGTTGTAGATTTGCCCTGAAAAAGTGGATGAATGATAAGCTCTGGATGAATCAGTGCGTCAACCATCCATCAGATACATTCGAGTGGCGGCACACTCTCGGATACTTACGGCCTTTTGGGGACTGGTAGAGCGGCAAGTAGGTCTCGTTCAGGGGCTTCGACAAGATCAGAAAGTTCTTGATCATCGAGCCAAATGTCCGGCCCTGCAATTATTGTATTCATTATTATTATTATTATTATTATTATTACCAAAACGATTAAATGCTTTCCAATTTTGAGCACGATCTGAGGCTACCGCCCCCCACCGTTGCTGAGGTAACTTTTTATTTTTATTATGTATATATATATACTTTTCAGAACTGGTACTTCTCAGAGACAAATCAGAGACACATGAAAGGTAAAGAAATAAGAAACATAATCGATCACGACCGATCGATCGATGGTTGTGTAAACAAAAGCCTCCAACTAAGACACAAAAAATATGAATAATTATTCGCAATATAAACAAATTGTTGGTTAACAAAAAGTGATCTTTTGGGTGGGCCCCCACCAGCACGACGAATCAAACGGATATGGCTAGGGTTACGGCCATTGATCCATATAGGATAAAATATCGTATTCACATGCAGATTTTTTGTCAAGTGTAGCGAGTATTCTTGGCCCGATTGTCGGGAAAAAGTCAACAAAGCCACGAGTATCACGAACTGCATTAGTTAAAAGCGTCTGGGTCCGGGACTTGTCCAATTAATGGGGGTCTATGGGGGGCTATTCATAAAGATAGTGCCCATCTGTGGCTTATGGCCACCATTACCCAGATAGCCCAGTTTGCAATTTTTATCATTTGGTGGTAAAATGTAGGATGTGCTCTACTTTTCATTAATGTGTGCGATTATTACACTCATTTTTCATTAAATTTATGTAGTTTTTATGCTTCTATGTTTACTTATCAAAATAATATTTAAAATTTAACTGCGGTTGCGGCTTTTTATGATATCCCATAAAACATAACCCATAAATATCCTTAAAACATTCCCCCATACTTTCCCACCTATTCCTATAATTACCACAAAACTTTCAAGTTTCGTGACCTTCGTGACAGGGCAAAGGAGTCTAAAAAAAAGGAGGTCAAATGTCAGGGTCCAAGATACTCACCATATCGAATCCAACCTCATAGTGCGTCCCCCTGGTGTAGAGAACTGGGACAGCCTGGCGACGTGGCAGGATCTTTCCGGAGGACATTCTTCTTCTGGGCTGTGGCGAGTCGAAGGTAGAGTATTGGAGAGTTGGTGTGGTAGAGCCTGGGCTTATCGCAAGGGAACCTGATGCACTGATAACTTGATAATGATAACACACAAAAGCAAAGTATAAACAAAAATGCGAGGCGCGAAACTCAAAGAGTTCTTTGTAAGTTCTGGTAATGTATTGGGGACTTTTTGGCGGGACAGCTGTTTGTTGGGTTCTAGACCGCTTGAATTCAGAATTCAAACTGATTTGTTTTGTTTTGACGCTGTCGCAGGCAAGCGTCGCAGTCGCGCCTCAGCCGGCGCCGGCGTTGACGTCAGCGCTGCCGGCCGCCGTTCGCCGGTGGCGGTGGCGGTACCTTGTTATCGATTACAGGCGTTACTTAACCCATTGCCATCCCAGAATGCTCAAAAGTGATGCAACTTTTAAGTCAAGAAAATGCTTAAAAGTCAAAATAAAAGTAAGAACTACTTGAGTTTCTTTAAATTTGGCGCCATTTTGAGGCATAGAATAGGGTGACAGTGTTGCATAAATTTTTATGATCCCAATCGTTGTGATTAATGCTTAAAAGCAGAGAAACTTTATAGATTTAAGATGTTCCAATGTGTAATTAAAATAAATGTCATTTTAAGCATTAACAAGCGCCATGTTTCATCTTTTAAAAAGATTGCATTAAGAGGTGCTTAAAAACTCTGAAGAGTTTATGAAAAAAAGCTATGATAATTGGCTATATTAGCTCCAACTGAGCTTAATCAATTGGCCGATTTTTAATAAAGATAGATTTTGGAAAGGGCTCGAACCGTACACGCCTAAGTCAATTAGCTCTCTAATAGGCTTTATTCTTGGCCTCTTCCCCTGCGTATACGTAATATGTTGGTGTTGTTTCCAACACTGCCCCTATGCGCCTCCCCCTCCTGGCCACGATGACCATGAATATTTTCGCTTTTGTTTTATTTCGATTGTTTTGCCGCCTTTTCGTTTTCTTTTGATTAGTATTCTTTTTTAACTGGGCTGGATTTTGCATTAAACAGGTAATTTTCCACAAAAAAACTATTAAAATTTCCATTAGAGAGTCGTGGGAACTGGAGATGCAGATACAGATACGTTTGATTGATTTTCGGACCTAACGCGAATAAATTAGAATTTATCAAAATTTACACTCAATATGCCACTTGCATCTGAATTATTTATTTGGGTTTTGTTTTTTTTTGTAGGTATGAGAGAGCTTTCGCGATGATAATGATGATCTGATCTGATCGTCGAGGCAACTTTCTCAGTATGTTTTTTGTCGCTTTTTTTTGTTTTTGTTTGCCCATTAGCATCACAATTAAATGTTTATTAATTTACAGGTAAAAAACAACATAAACTAAGACAATGTTAACCGATTATATAAGTGAGAATACGGCTGATGAATGGGATACGCTATAATTTCCCCAAAACTGCAATTTGGAGCGATTCGATCGAAAAACATACGAAAAACGAAAGATAGCGAAACAGATCAAGTCGCTTTCATTATTGAATTTTTTTTAAAAGGCATTAACTTTCGTTCGTTGTTAGTGTTTTTGTTGTTGTCTTACCTGGCGGCTAGAAAAATATAAGTAGCATACGTATGTGTGTGTGTGTCTCGGTGTGTGTTTATGTGGCGCATTTCAATAATAATGAAAACAAAAGTTAAAACAAATAAAACAAAAACAACCGCTATCTGGGGCTGCTCCACCGCCACGGAGAGCGAGAGTTCAAAAAAGAGATGCTACTAAGCGCTGTCAAACGGTGATTACAAGAAAATAACATTTTACAGTTGCTTCTGCTCCGCTCACCTGCCGTGGAGAGGGTATGTGGATTTTGGGGCTTCGTTTGTCGCTGCTTCTTGACCTATGGAATTTCCTGGGAAACCGATAGCTTTCGTTGGATTTTTCCCTTTAGCTTACGTGATTTCAGGTCAATGAACTCCAAGAGAGAAGTGGGGCTTTCACTTTGATAGGGGAGCTTTGATTTTACACAACGAGTATAAAATTTTATTTTATTGATTATAGAACAAAGGAAACTATGACGTGAGAGATATGAGAAACATATGGATCATGAGAGTATTCCCAGGGGTCCACAAATAAGAATAACTGCGTAATTCCACCATCGTATCTCTCCACCGACAACAAAATGGCGGACAAAGTGCCCAAGGAAGGGCATGCACTCGTCGATGTGGGCCCTTAGATGTTAGCCACTTCACCCGGAGGGCTCGTAGGTCATGAGCTTGTCGTCTTGGCCAGCATCGGCTCTTGTATATAAATTTTGGACAAAAGAAAGACTTCGGTTTAAACCAATTTTGGCAAGGCGGCGGCCATAAGGTGACGACCACTCGAAGCGGCAACATGGACCGGCTCGAGCACACTCTGCAGATGCTTCTACTTCTATTCTCCGGCACGCTCCTGCTGCCGCTGGTCTCAGGATTCGGCAACGAGTACGTCCACATCAAGGTGCATGTGCCCAAGGAGGAGTCCCCGCCAGAACTGGAAATTCCTCCGGCTCACAAGGTCATCCACCACTTCCACCATCATCCGCATCCCCACCAGCTGCTCCGAAGCCGCGGGGCCAGGCCCGGTGGAGGTCCGTCTCGGCCCAAGCCGAGTCCCTTGCTGGAGAGCGTCATCCTGTCGGACCTGGACAAGCCGCTGCACATGAGCGAGCATGCGGACTACCTCAATCACGCCAAAGAGCTGGCCGAGCACCTCACGGACGCGTACGCCAAGAAGGCCCCTCCTCCGCCCCCGCCTCCACCGAAAAAGAAGGTGAACACATACACTATCATCGAGGAGAAGCACCGGCCGCACGGCTACGACTACGAGGATCACCCGGAGCACAGTGTGGAGACCTACAGGGTGATCGAGTCCCGTCCCAAGCAGCACGCTCACTCCCACTCGCACTCTCACTCCTACCACCACCATTCCCACCAGGACGTAGAGGACGAGGAGGACGTCGGCTACCACTACCCCAGCAAGCATGGAATCGGTGCCTACGCCGAGCCTGCGCCAGTGGAGGAGCACCTGGAGCACGATCTGGAGCCAGAGTCGGGCTACAGCTACTCACCGCCAGCACCGAGCCATGCCTACATTCCATCCAGCCACAGTCACGGTCCCTCCCACTCCGGACGTGGCTCGAAGGCGAACCGAGCCCCTGCCTACACGTTGGAGGCCCCCGAGGAGTCCTCCTCAGGCTCCTTTGGGTACGACTACTCCCGACCCGTTTCCAGTGGCTCCAGTGACTTCCGTCCGTCGCCGCAGGTTCCAGTGGCGGATGCCTACGGCGAGGAGGAACCGGCGGAGACCTACGGAGCTCCCCCACGACGCCGCCGGCCCTCCCTGGTCGACTGGCCGGAGTCCGCGGGCTTCAACGGAGCTGCGGCCGAGACGTACAGCGGCGTCGACAGCTACAACGTAGGCCATGTACAGGGGTACGGTGGCTCCAGTGGCTACCAGTACAGTGGGCCCTACTTGTAGAGTAACTTAGAGATATAGTGCGCTATGCCTAAGACGTATTTATTGAATTTTTGTGTTTTTTTTTCGTAGCTCTGTAAGTTTAACAAAAACTATCCTAAGATTAAAAACAAATAAATTTTAACAAAAAAACAGAAAGAAATCTTTTAATAATATTTTTTATATCTTTAATAGAGCTATTATATCATATATTATGATACGATTCCGAAGCCAGCTAGAACTCGTAAGTTCAACCTTGTTAGAAAACCAAAAAGTGAATGGAAATCGGTAGAATATAATACTCAGCTAACTCGTTGAAGAAAAATATATAATTTAATGATAAAAACCCATTAAATAAATTATTATTATGATGAATAATAAACTAGAATTGTTAAAACTACAAATTTGCAATGAAATATTTCAAGTTTGAAATGGGACTCTTATTTCTAGAAGTGCCCCTGTTTTAGAGCCCCCAGTGCTCTATCGGTACCCCCACTCAGACACTTAGCCTAATGGAATTGTGTCACCTGATTGCCCCACTTATTGGAGATCTTACCGGAGGATAAGTCCGTTTCCGGATGAGCTCGCTCGTCCATGGCCAGTCCACGATGAGCCACCAAGGAGGCCAGGTTCTGCACTTCCACCTGCGACTGTACCAGTGTCTCGGCTTCCACGGCCTGCCCCTTCCCGGGGATGGGGATCCTTCCGGGTGGCGCCGTAGGCTGCGAGCCTGGGGCCTGCTCCTCCTGCTGGCCTTAAGCGGCCTCATTCTAGTGTGCCTCTTCAGCGACGAGGAGTTCCTCTACCAGGGGGACATGTTCGGGTGCGTCAACGACGCTTTAAAGTACGTATTTGCCGAGATGGCTGTGCTGGCCATTTACTTGGAGACTGTGACGAGTCAGCGGGACCTGGCGAACTTCTGGTACCTCCACTTCCGGCTCAGCAGTCGGATGATGGAGGCCGGCAGCCTCCGGAGGGAGCTCCGGCAGTACCGCCGCTTCATCATCACCTTGTACGGCCTGGTTATGTGCGAGCTGCTATTCCACGTGGTCATGTGGCGGGTGCAGCCTCTCAGCCACCACATGTTGCTCTTCTGGTCCACCTATGAGCCTCTGGTTTTCCTGACCTACCTGCGGAACATTCAGTTTATCCTACATATGGAGCTACTCCGTCAGCAGTTGGCCCAGCTGGAACAGGAGCTCCGACTCCTGGCTGAGTACTCGAGATTCGCCTGTAGCGGAACGGGTCGGAGCTTTCCCGGCTTCGAGACCTTTCTGCGTCGCCGGCTACTTCAGAAACAGAGGGTCTACAACGGTATCTGGGAAATGTACCGAAGCTTCCAGGGCGCCTTCAACTACTCGATCCTCACAGTCCTGCTCTCGATCAACATACGGATAGCGGTTGACTGCTACTTCATGTACTACACCATCTACAACAATGTGGCCAATATAGGTGGGTTTTTCCTAATTTATAGAGATCCTCACTAAAGGATTTTACTCGCCATAGACTACTACCTGATCATCCCCGCCGTACTGGAGATCCCCGCCTTCGTCTATGCCTCCCAGAGCTGCATGCTTTACGTGCCCAGGATCGCTTATCAGCTGCACAACATTGTACCCTCTTCCGGAAGCTGCAGTTGTCCCGATCTTTCCCTGCAGGTGAGCTGTCCAGCTGTGCTGCCATTTTCAACTTTATATCCTCTCCAGATCCAGAACTTTTCGCTGCAACTTTTGCACCAACCGGTTAGCATCAATTGCCTGGGACTGACCGTCCTGGATTGCAGTTTTCTCACACGGGTTGGTGCAGTGCCTTCTTGGGATGATCCTAGTCCTCTTACTGCTTGCTTCTTACAGATTGCCTGCTCCGTGGGGACCTACATGATCTACACCATCCAGTTTATGCCGAAACTAAGCACTACGTATTTTTAGAGGCTCTGGATATCAGAAAGGATACTGTACAATAAGGATATCCTTAGGAGGATTATAATACTCAGTAATGAGTAAGGAATTTTTGTAAAACTTCTGTGTCAAAGTCCATGCCCTTTGAATAGAAACCTTCTACATATTAAAGCTTTGTTATATTCATAAAATTATACTTAATTACATAATTGTGTATATTTCTATGCGTATCTTAAACCAAATAAGGGGTCAGAGGTCGGTCACAAGCAGCAGCAAGGTCATTAAGTATTTTATTTACAAGTGTTCCTTGCCTGGCGGGGAATGCCAGGATCACCTGGTGAGATTGTGTTTACACATTGGATCGTCGAAGAGGATTCTGGATAATAACTGCTGGATGGCTCAGTGGACGTATGAGCCGTTACATGAGACCCCGAGGATTACAGATTAAAGGCTACGGACTAATGCAGGGAATATGTCTAGAGTCTAGAGTGTAGAGTGTGGTGTGTTTTGGAGTGGCGTAGCGTGTGGCATGGCATCTCTAATCGTACTCGTGACTGGATTCCCGCTTTGCAATCAGATTCTCGCGTTCATCGTCATTTCCCTCAATGATGGTGATGCCACCAGCAACATGACTATTCCGATTCAGCGGCTTTACCCGGTGAACTGTCTCTGTGAGCCCAGACTCGGTCAGCACTTCCACCTCGTCGTCGTCCTCATCCTCGTCGGGCACCGTGAAGTATGGATGTGAGGAGACCGGCCGGAACTTGTAGCCAGTAAGCACAAAGAAAACGTAGGTGGTCATCTCGCGGAACATCTCGTCTAGCCAGGCGTATTGGAACACCACCGTCATCTGCAGCAGGTCGACTATGATGCGGGTGAAGTAGATGTAGCAGAGAATCATGATGTAGAACTGCCGAAATAGTTTCATCTTGCGCAAATTGATGGCCGCTTTGCCGTCGGTGGCGGAGGCCTCGTGCAGATGCCGAATCGACCATACGATGGGGAACAGGATGGCGCCACAACACAGCAGGTCCACAAAGAAGAAGATGTTGTGCCAGGTACGGAACTCGGCGTCACTTTGGTCCGACTCGTCGGTGATGATCTGGGCCACGTTTGCCAGAACCTAGACGGTAAATGGTTTGTTTATTTACTCCTGGTTATGTGGTGATAGTATTTCTTCTCACTCACCTGCAGGGGAATGACAATCATAAAGATCTTCTTATCCTTGTCCGATAGAATGTGCTTGATGAATGTCCAGCCGGTTCCAATCAGCACAATGGTGATAAAGAGCACGGCGCCCTTTAGCAGGTGCGCAATATAGTAGAGTATGGCCCATGTTTCTACGTGCTCGCCCCGTTTCTCGATAAAGTGGTAATTGATGGAATGAAACATCAGCGACAGGGACTTCAAGAAGACCAGTACGGCCATTAAGTAATGGATCTTGTAAACGGTGTGCCTGAAAAAAGATTATTTGTTAGTATCCTCTCAAGAAGAATAAGTATTCGAATACTAACTTGCTCTTTTTCAAAATAAAAACCCAGAATAGGCCAGAGAAAAAGAACAGCAAGCTCATCAGGAAGTATAAAGCGGGCAAAGGCATCTCGCCAGCCGACAAATAGTTGCCATTGTTGTTCTCCTCGATGTCCACCTGGAAGGGGTAGTAAATCATGTTTTCGTTCGTAACAAAATCGCTTGCTTTAACTTACATTAAAGGACACAATCTTAGTGTGCGGGTAGTAGTTCGGGCAGGCATGGAAGTACACATTGTACAGACCCTCATCGCGCTGCGTGGCCACCAGCATGGAAAAGTTAAAGCTGTAGTAATTCACCCCCTGGATGGTCTCCTTGCCCAAGGGCATTACGGAATCCCTGCACAGGTTCTCCGACGAGGGCTTATAGGAGCCAACACCGTACAGCTCATCCGTGGGGTCTTGGGGTAAGGGATTCACTGGGGCCGATTGATCTGGTATACCATCTGAATCAGATTCCTCGCTTTGCGGACCAGGGTCTAATTCAGCAGGAGCTTCCGGATGGGCAGGTGCAGCAGGAGAGTTTCCTGCATCAACTGGGGCTTCAGGGACGGCTGGAATTTTTACCGGAGCAGATGCTTCTGGAGAGATTGGTGGTGATACCTTCACAGATTCATTGGCTGGCGCTGGCACTTCTTTAGCAGGTGACTCCTTCTTAGGGATAGCAGGCACATCTTGGGGGACTCCTGCCGATGCTTGTTTGACAGAATCCTCACTCTGGTTGCCAGAAGACGCTTGGGGCTTTGCAGAGTTCTCCACTTTGGGGGCAGCTACCTCCGCAACCTTCTCTTTGGACCCATCATCCATGGCAGCCGTGTCATCTTTGGGCACCTCGATTTTTCCAGCCACCGCAATTGGAACCGACGGCGAGGAAAGTTTTAAATCCATCGGATCCTTGGGCTCAAAGTCCAGGGGATCCTCCACAGACTCATCCGGAATCTCGGCCATATCAGCCTGCGGAGCCTGTCGACTTTGACGAAACAAGACTGAGTCACTAACCTTGACCAGTCGTGAGTTTCTTTTAGTCCTTCCAACAATGTTATTGTATATGTGCATATTTGACCACTCTGGCGAACATTTCACTCGAACCCTGTAATCCAAAGACAATTTGGTTTAAAAAGCAACCTACATAGCAGTCTACAAGAACGTACTTCAGCTCCTTTAGATCCAAAACAAAGAAGAGTATGGGCCCACTGGTTTGCTTCGATACGGCCTCCTCCAGGATGCACTTGTTCTGGTGAGAGTCCACATATGGATTCAACTGATCGATGGTGGTCTTATCCAGGGATAAGCCAAACTGCCAAGAAAAGGGTAAAGCTTAGAGGTGGTGGAGAAAAACAAGGGAACCGGTTAACCCACCAGATCCGTGCTTTTTTCATCGTCTATGGCCAGCTTGCTGAGCTGCACGTCTAGATGGCCGTTGGTATAGAACCCAAAGGTACTCAGGGCTATGTACGGACGTTCGTCATTCTGCGGGTAGTAAGTTAAATAAACATTATGAATCACATAGATTAGTTGGTTTCTTCGTCGGCGAACTTACGCGAACTTCCAGATGATGTTTCCGCGCCAGCACTTGTAGGGGCAGGGCGCACAGCAGAGCCACAGCCAAAGCCACTGGCCAAACTATTGATCCAACACCTCGTCCGACTTCCATTCCGCAGCCAGACACCGCTCCTAGAAGTTTTTGTGCCGATTATCGCAGAGTTTTTCCCGTTTTTCACCGACGACGTCTCGTCGTGGCACTTTTCCGCTCTTTTCCACCTTCTCGGCCCAGGGCAGTAATTTCCGTGCCTGCTGTGTTTCAAAATGTGGCAATCGATTAGCCGCGTCCGTCGTCACAGTTCATATTATTCACACTCAATCAAGCTTCAATGGTTTTCCTGTTCTTTTCGACGATTCGGTGGCCTTTAGCAAAAGGTGAGAATGAACTTCTAAAAGCAGTGTGACCAGGTGGCGCCAGCCAACAGGGCTTATACCAGGGCTGCCAACTCCCTGCGATTGCACTGAGCCCAGGTGGCGCCACCAGTAACAGAATTTCAAATTCAAATACTCGAAACTTTGGAGATCTAATAGAACTTGCTTTATTTTAGACAATTTTCTACGTTACTACAGTTCAGTGCATGAGAGAAAAAGAGAAAAAAAATATACTTCATTCCATGTAGCCCATGTGGGAGTCGGTGGCCCCAATATTTTTTTTTGAATGGAGGCCATGACGCGGTTTGAATTTTCCATCGCCCAATGTAACCTTTGGTGGCAGCTTTTTGCCCCTGAAAGTGGCCGCCTCAAAGGAGGGCGGAGGCGATATCTTCACTGGATGCAGCGGTGGCTTCTCCTGCTCCGTGGGAATGTGCCAGGCCTGCTTGGCAGTGCCGGAGACAGCCGTTGGTGGTGCTGTGGGCACTGTTCCGTCTACAGGACGCACCTGGGTAATGGGTCCCTCCAGCTTGGTCTTCTTCCGCTTGTAGTAGAGCACCTCCAGACCCAAAGTAATCATGGCCAGCACAAGGCCGAACAGCGTGGCAATGAAAACACCGCCCAAGCTCTCCAGCGTAATACCCTCCTGGTCCTCCGACAGAGGGCAGTTTCTCAGGTTCGACTGGTTCCAATACTTGGCCTTGAGCTCCTCGAAAAACCTATCCTTCTGCAGCTCCAGGATGGCGTAGCTCAGCTCGTCACCCAGGTGGCTGCCCTGCTGAACGGCCACCGCATACGGCTGCTCCGCAAACACTTCTCCCACCTCAGTGAGGTTGCAGTTCCGAGTGATCTCGTACTTGATCTCGGCGGAATCGTGTATGAAGGCATAATCGGCGTTCTCGTGCGCGTCCACATTGGCGAATCCCTCCCGGGCATCGGCCACCGGCTGGGAGCTGTTGATGGCCAGGAGTATGTGACCGTACTGCTCCTTGATGGGGTAGTCCCATATACGGAACTTTTTGAAATCCTTCGAGGCGTTGAGGGCCAGCTCCTTCCACATTCGGTAGAGCGTGTCCTCGGCAAACTTCATGTTGATGAAGTACTGGTGGGTGTCCGACTCCTTTACCACGGTGTAGTTAATCCTTGACTGGCGGGCCAGTTGCTCGAGAGACTGGACCGGCGTCTGCATACGCTCCACGGTGAGAAAGGCCGCCAGGTTGGCGGTGAAAGTGGCCAACATGAGGACTACGAACAGCCAATAGGCGGCCACCAGCATCCGACCGGAAATGGCCTTGGGAGCCTCTCCGCCGCCCTGGGGCGTGAACGAGGTGAGGGCGAACCAGAAGCTCTCCCGGAGCGTGAACTCCCGGCAAGGGTAAGGGTAGGCCTGTCGGTTGTTTCGGGAACTGTACGGCGAGTACTTGTCCATGAACCAGATCATGATGGCTGTGCCAATTAGGGCCGCCACGATACTCAACCAGACCTCCAACCGCAGCACGGTCATGAATTTAAAGAGCGACGTCCTCCGCACGGGCTTCCGTATGGCGATCGATATGCCCGTTTGCTCATAGTACGGCGGCAGGAAGTCGATCACCTCCTCGCGCTCCGAGTACATCTTGAGGGCCGCTATCGCGAAGTCCGTCTCGCCACGAACCAGATCTCCCACTACGCCGTCCCACTCTCCATGGTCGTCCACCTCACCCATGTGCCCGGTCTGGGGTGCCACGATTTCGTACTCGAAGTTCAGCTTCTGGGCCAGCCGAATGATGAAGTCGATGCAGTAGCCCTCCCACACGGGCACGCCGTTCCGGTCCCGCACCAGCTCACCTGTCCGCTCATTCCGTTTCAGGTAGCTCCAGGGTATGCTCTCAGCGGTGCCGATCCGGAAGAACCTTCGAGCCGGGCTGATAGTCTCGTTGAGGAGCCTCAGAGTCCCCACCGACGACCAGGCCGCTAGATCCGTCTTGGCTTCGTGCTCGGAGCTGTAGTAGCCGGCGGAAATGTTGATGGCGAAACTCAAGCCGGGCTGAGACTCCGGAGAGTCTTCGGAAAAGCGCTCTGCGGGCACGGCATATGCCAGAAAGTTGCTCCAGTGCACCAGGTCCAGCCAGGAAGCTTCTGTCCCTTCCTTCACTTCCGACGAGGAGCCGGTGGCATTACACTCCTGGAAAACGGGAGCCGGGAACTCGGGACTAACTTGCGCCGCATCAATCAGGCTGCGGAGCACGTTCAGCAACATTCCGCGTTGGATCTAAAGGGGTTTATAGGGGTTAGGCATAGGAGGAACATCTCCGGCGGAGCTGACGCCTCACCGTAAAGCCACTGCCGCAGTAGAGATCCGGCATAGCCATGGAACGGCATATCGCACGAGGACTGAGGGTAAACCGAGTGGAGAGCTCCGCTTGCCGTTTGTACTTGAAGACCCGATCCCTAGTGTCCAGGAACACAAAGTGCCACTCCAGGGGTCGTTGGAACAGGTCAGCTTTTTGGACCTGAAATGGAGGGAACATCGTACCTTTAGCTTCATCTACGAGGAACTTCGTACCTTCTCGAAGATTGCATTCATGGCGCCGCCGCGGGCGAAAAGACCCACGTATGCAGGAGACGGGCGGAGTGCGCGGATGCGCTCCACAAAATCCTGCCCCGGATCGTCCTGACTGGCGTCCAGTATGAGAGTGCGGAACGGATAGCCGTAGAGCATTTGGTGGGTGGCTTCGCCAGCGTCCCGGGCGTTCATGAAGACCATTGCCACATTGTTGGCTCGTTTCTGGCGCATAAAGTCGCCGAACATCTCCAGGAAAGGGCGCAGGATGCGCTCCAAGCGCACATAAGCAATGCCCTGGCTGCGGATCAGATCATAGCCCTCGGTCCAGTGGTTGTAGGTCATATCGATCACAATGCTGGTGCCCACAGTGGAGAGGATTTCACAGACTGAAGGAAATGTAGGTTAGTTTGGTACCATAAGCGACCCATTCCACGTACAGCGTTGCATGTCCTGGCCGTCCTCGGAGCGCGTCAAGGTCAGAGAGACATCTTCCACCTTGGTGTCCAGCTGCAGGGCATCTAGCTCCTTCAGCACCACCGCCATATCCGCGTCGAACTCCGCCCGCTGAATAGGCTCTATCCAAAAGGCTGAGAAGGGTAACGGATGGATGTAGTATTGGAGTGATCTTTCGATCGTAATAACTCACTTATCCTTAGGTTTTCAGCAAGGACTCCTTGGATCATTAGAAGCGTCAGACTCGCCAGAAGCCCGGCCATGGCTAACCTTCCTTCTTGAGGACTTGCCGAGATTTAAAGAGCCGTCCTGACCTGGCGGTGTCACATTTGATTGCTGGCCAATTATGCCAATTATTAGTTTCGCGTGTGGCTGCCCATCACAGGACACAGTATTAATATTTAAAGGTCCTGGAAATGATGGACACCCCATGGGGACGCGTCCCCCACCCCTTATAGGAAATTAAAGTCTAGCTTTGGTTATTCCTTAGATTCAGTTTATAGGTAAGAAAAAAAATAATGAAGAAACATCAATTTTGTTCTGCGGCCTTAACAACCTAATCAACTTGGCTATCATTGTACAGCGCTCTATATATTCAGGTATATATATATATTGTGGGGGGGGATGAACGAATCCTAATGAGAGATCCTTCCTGCTTAACCTCCACGCAATGTGTGAATGTTTTAGTAGTTTTGATGGAGCAGCTGGAGGGTCTCCTGCTCCTAGTCCACTTACGACGAAAATAAATAAATTAAAATTAGGTAATCGATCGGCATGGATCAAGTGCGTCTTAATAATTAACGAAATCAATTCTATACGATCCTAGATTGCAATTATACAATTATGCGACGGTGAATAATTCATTTTGAAACTAGTTTTCCAAAAAAAAAACACTTAACTAGATGAGCTTATAAAGCTGAGAGGGATGTGGGCTACTCCGATGATGGTATGATGGCGAGGAGGGGATGGTATAGATCCGTGTCGGATTATCCTATCAGGTTCCATGGAGATGTGACAGTATCGACTCAATGTCCTCTATCTCCACACTGTGGCTGGACTGGTTCTTATCCTTGTCCTGCAGGTCCTCGGATTTTTCGCCTCCGCTGAGATTTGTGTTTCTATTTGGAGAAGAATGGTTGTAAGTTCGCTCCCGTAATGCCTTCTCTGCGGCGATGCTACTTACATATTGGCGACCTCCAGATCGTTTTCGTCCTGCGGTAAAGAGACGCACCTCGCATCTAGCTTCTCGGCTAGTGGGGTGGATGTGGCCGTCGGCTGATTCGAGGGGGCTGCTGGTGTAGCAACGCCTCCACTGTTGCTGGTCAGCCGGCGTATCCGTTTCTTGGGGATATTCCGGATGACCACCAACGGCTTGCCCACAAACACGTGATTCAGACTGCCTATGCTCATGGTGTGGAGCTGGTCGTCCTCTGTCATTAGGCGCATCTGGTAGTTCTTGAAGAAGTTAGCCGGTTGGCGCGCCACACTGTTAACCGGCTTGGAGCCGTTGTCCTCGTAGATGATGCTAAAATGGTGACGCTCCTGGTCTTTGCTCATGCACAAGTCCAATTCGTAGTCGCTATCGTTTGGGTCGGACGCCGAATCGTTTGGCGGTTCGTCCGGCTGCTCTGGAATTCCCTGGAGAACGGGCGGCGGCTGCTGGTTGTCCGGGGAATCCCGCGTGGTTTGAGCCTCGGCCACCAGGGGCAGCCTGGAGCCCATGGGAGTCGTGGAGGGCGGTCTCGTCTCTACCTTCTTCTTGGCCGGCTTTTTCGTGGTGGCCTTGGCTTGGGCCTTCGATGTCTTTTGTGTCTCCTGGGAAGTTGCCTTGCCACCTGGCTCGTCGGGGGATGCAGCTGTGGGATGAAGAAAATAAGGTTGAAGGCAAAAGACTTTGGATAAGATAGGTTTCTACTCACGTTTGTGATCCACCAGCCGAGAGGATCTGCGCATGGATATCTTTGGCGGCTCTCCGTTCTGACACCTCTTGGGGCGACCTCGTTTTCCCGGCGCTGGCTGAGCAGCTATCTCCACTGCAGCTCGGGCCACCTTTGGTTTGGTTATAGTGCTAGCTGGTGGAGGCTCCTGTTTCTTGACTGACAGATTCAGGGCCATCAACAGAGCCGGATCCAAAGCGCTGGAAGGCGTCGTCTCCGGCTCAGCCACCTCTTCCTCCTTTTCTTTTTCTTCTGCCTCGGTTACCTTTATTAATTTTTGAGGAGACGAGCTGTCGAGTGCCTGGGCCTTCTTTGGGGGATCTTCGTGCTTGGCTGCCTTGTTCTTGTTGGCCTCCAGGTGTTCGCATTTCTTAGGCGACTTTTGGCTGCTGGGATTTGCCAGTTTGGCGGACTCCCGGATGGCCGTTAGCTTCTTACTGGCTGCGGTCTTCTTGCCCTGCACCTTGGCTGGCTGCGATTTCTCCTTCTCCTTGACCTTGGCCATTACTCTCTGGCGCTTTTCGTCCAGCTGCTGCCGCTGCTCCTTGATGTTTTGGGAGGGTCCAGGAACCGGGGTAGTCTGTTCCTCGGGAGGCGGAGGTGGAACTGATTCTGATACTGATACTGGCGGTAATGGTGGTGGAGGAGGTTGTGTAAATTCCGCGGCTGGTGGTGGAGGTGGTGGAAGTTCCGCAACTGGGGGAGGCGGTGGCGGATCTTTATCTCCGAATCGTGCAAGTAGCTCCCCGATGGTTTTTGTCGCCTCCTGTGCTTGCTGGGATTCCTTGCTGGGAGTCAGCCAGTTCCTTATCGGATAGCGCACTTCACCGTCCTGACTCAGCAACTGACCCGGCTGGCTATCGATCGAGAGCCCTGGAAGCACGGCGCTCTGCGAGCCCGACCCAACACCCGCCGTTTTGAGCCACTCCTCGTCCTCGGTGCTGCTAATGTTGGAAAGATTGTCCAGGTTGAGCAGAACCTCGCTCTCCTTGGACTCCACCTTCTCCTCTTTCTTCTCCGCGTCTGCCGACCCCAGTTCGCCTTCCTCCTTTTCGCCGTGAGAAGATTGTGACGACGTGGAGCTTGAGGAGGAGCTGCTGCTGGAGCTGGAACTCGAGCTGGACGAGGAGGAGGTGCTGGTCGCCGAGGAGCTGGAGTTGCTGGAGCCTTCTATTATTGCTTCGGGCAGTCCGCGCAGAAGCTTGTAGTGCGGCTGCTGCTGCTGATCCGACGGATACGAGCCGGCCGTGGCGGACTCGACACTGTCCACTGCCTCGCAACCAAAGGAACGCACCCGACGTAGTACTGTGGGTTCCACAGCTAGGACGACTGGTGGCTCCGGATCCAGTTGGCTCGGCTGCTCCTTTGCATCCTTAGCCGGCGGCTCTTCTTTGCTGTTCTTGAGATCACTTCCTTCCGTCTCCTCCTCAGCCTGCTTCTCCTTCATTTCCTCCCATTGCTGGATGGCGCACTGCGCATTCGCATCCGTGTGCTCCGCCTCGTCCGGCCGGTAATAGGAGCTGCCGGAGGAGTACTCCGTCTTAGCAGCGCTGCCCAGTGGAGTGCCCGGCATCTGGCCGAAGGGTGTGCATCGGAATCCCGGCGTAATTGCGCTCAGCTGGGGCGTGTTCATTATACTTTTTGTGTCCGACCCAAAGAGGAACGAACTGGTCGGAATCTTGCCGTATGGGGTATCCAACGGAAGAATCGCAGTGCCCGGAGTGGGTGGAATGGCGGGTTCTCCTTCCCCAGAACCACCGGACACACCGCCTTGTCCCGCAGGGTCTCCTGGCTGTCCCTCGGCCGCGTCTCCTCGAGGCGATGCCTTGAAAGGCGTGTCAAGCAGCATGGCCATGTTGGGAGGAGCTAGGAGCTTCTCCTGCTCTTTCGGAAGCCCTAAATCTATTGGTTCACTGGGCGGTGGCTCCTCATTTGGTGGCTCCTTATTGACGGAGTCCTTCTTCTTTCTGACCGCTTTTGGTTTCTGGGGTGTGGTTATCTTAATGCTAATCTTCTCCACAGGTTCACCGCCACTACGCTGGGTCCCCTTGCGATTTGGCGGCGACTTTTTGGTCTGCTGAGTGGCAAGGATGCTGGCCTTCTTGGTCCTTCCTGTGGTGGGGGTCTCCTTCTTCTTGGGCCGCCGCACGCGAACTACAGTTTTGACGGCCTCCTCCCGCTTGGAGTTGATCTCCCGCAGCCGATTCTCCAGATCGTTCTGGGAGCCGTGCATCTGCCGCTTCCAGGCGGCCATAAGATCGTCGGCCTCTGTGGTTGCAGCTCCCTCTGCAGCTCCTGCCTCCGATTCGGTAGACAGCTTCTTTTCCTTTTCCTCGTGGACGTTCTCCTTGCTCGCCTCTGTACTGTCGTCGTGGGCTGTGGAGTTTTCCGCACTTTCCTTGGGTTTAGGCTTTTTCTCCTCCTTATTCTTTTCCTTCCCCTTCCCCTTCTCGTTGTCCTTGTCGTTGTCTTTATTCATTGGCTTGGCCTCCGTTTCCGCCTGCGATATAATCCGCTTGCAGGCCTTTACCGCCGCCTGGCGTTTCTGTTTTCTCTTGGGAGTTGCCACCAAAGGAGCCGCGGGCGGATGGGCTCGGATCACCGTCTGATTGCTGCACTCCATGTCCATGGCGAAGAGGGGAGGTACACCTTCCGTGGACTCGTACGCGCTGACTTCAGTGGGGGTCTGAATAATCTCCACTTGCTTTATGACAGGTTTCTCTTTCGCTTTTGCCAGCAATCCGGTACGCCGGGTGGAGAGCGGTGTTGTGGGATGGAGGGCACCACCCAATGGACCGCCCACTTTGGGGGAGAAGGTGAGAGTACGGACATGGGAGGTTCGCTTCCGCGGAGTGGAAAGGCTGCGGAAAGCCTTCACATTGATGATTCCCGCCGTGGAGGGTGTAACGCGCTCCATAACTTGCCGCGAAGAGTCCAGCGAGGCAGGCGGGAGCTTGAGCTGTTCCTCCTGTGGCATTGTCCTCTGGTGCTCTTGCTCCTTCTCATTTTTTTCCTCCTTTTTCTGGGCTATGTTCTCCTCGGCTATCAGCTGTGCCGGGGGCTCCGATGGCGGAGGCTGAGGTGGTTGCTTTTGGGCACTGTTGATGATGATGGAGTTTGGCGGCAGCTGATTGGCCGACAGGGTAATGGGCTCCGGCAACGAGATTTCGATGTGAGAGTCCTCCACGTTGGCAAAGGCATCGGGTCCGAGTTGCTGGGCCACCCACTCGTTGTTCACTAGAAAGGGGAAGTGCGAGAGCAGGCCCCCATTGGAGAGGTACATGGGAAACGTCAGTTGCCCTGTTGTGGCATCCACGCACACCTGAGCAGCATCCGCATCCGACAGCATGGCCGTGGGATCACCAAAGTTAAGGTTCAACCCGTCACTGGTGAAGCTCAAGTTGCCTGACTCCCCGCCAGGCATCTTCTGAACACTCTCGTTGGCGTTTACCACAATCAGCTTTGAGATAGAGAAGTTGGGATCGGCATTGGTGCCAGTTGTGGCCGCAGTAACAGCTGTGCGGATTATGAGAGGTGTTTGTGGCGGCACGGGTTCGCGTATCTCCGCTTGGTCTGGAACTGTAATGGCCTCCATAGGTGCCTGTGCTCCTACCGGAACCACTGTCGGAGCCGGATTTAAAACGGGTGGTGCCTGAGACGCCTCCGCTAGTTCCAAGGGATCATCTCCCGAAACCACCTCCTGAATAATACGATCGAAGGACGGATCCCTTTCCGTGGCCTCCAAAATGTTTTTCACAAGACCATCCAACACCGCTTCGCAGCTCACGGTGGGATTGGTGACCGTCACCGACTGTAGCGCTATGTTGATGTTATTTACCAGAGTCTCTTTGAATTTTTGATCCTTGATAATCGCACTAGCCAGCTCCTGGATAAAGGTAGCTCTTAACTTTTTAGACTCTTGGATAGTTTTTTTTTTTAGTACTTACCGGCATAGTTTGCGGTGTGAACACAAGTGGATTGGCCGCTGCGTTGACTTGGCGAGGCGTGGAATTGTTTCGCGGGCCAGGTCCGTCAACGCTTGCCAACTCCTCTTCCAGATCCTCAGTCGCCGTGGTGCTGCTGCCTTCATCCTCCTCCTCGTCCCCCTCTTGGTCGTCCTTATTGGCCAGGAAACTTAGCTTTGGCTTTTCGCGGTTGACGCTGCAATAAAAATGCGGTGGCAGCAAACGGGGGCGCTTGCTAAGGGAAGGCGAGGATAAGGTGTCCAACGGGGATTGAGTGTGTCTGAAAAACATATAAAACATCAGAATATAATTTGCGAAACATAAGAAATAGAAATCCATATTACCGGTGCATTCGTTTCCTATGAGAATGCGAATTGCTGGGCTCTCCTGTAGTGCTGCTCTCATTGTTGGTGGTGCTGTGGGTGCTCCGTTCCGACGAGGTAATCAGTTCGTTGACCCGCTCCGACAATTTCAGCTGCTGCAGATTGAGACGTGCTTCCAGGGGAAGCTTCTGTAGTGCATTGGCCACTGGAAGTCAAAGGACAAGACTGTACGTCGAACGGGAAAAGAAAGCTCTATTAGGGATCCTTACCCAATCCGGTGATCTTGACATGCTCGCAGATGATGTCCTCGAGGCCGCCATTGAGGAAATTGTGCGTCTGAAGACCCTGTTTAAGGGCCAGAAACTCGTGGCGCAGGTGGGGCGAAGTGCGGCACAGTGTGTTAGCGGCTCTCGTCAGATTCTGATTCACCAAGTAGCCTGAAATGAATGCCAACAAGGAGCTAGCTAAGTAAACAGCTTCAAGACCAACTAGAGGTACAGGACTCACCCAAAACCAGACGTGCAACATCAGAGTGCAGCACTATGGACTCCATGACTGCCGGACAAAGCGGTTGTTAGCAACGCATTCCAGTGGACGCTTCCCTATTTCCGCTCTCGCCTATTGACTTTTTGGTATCGATGTTCTTTGGTTTTATGGACTTTGCTGTGGCGCTGGTACTGCAAGTCTCCGGTATCGGATCCAATGAGTAAATAAACACACTTTTTTTGCCTATTGACTATTATTTTCGTTTTGTTGTTGCCGATTGCTGAGGCGCACTGTACAAACACACACCTAAACGCCTCAATTTTAGCATCTGTTCAGTGCCCGCCAAAACAATCAACAGGGTTGCCGACTTTCCAGGATATCGATAGTTCGGCACTAGCGATTGTATTGATCTAAACGAAATGAGTTTTAAAGCATTCAAATTCTTCTTGTTTCTTTTAAAACCCGTATTTAAAAACAGAAAATGCAAATGCCTATTTATTTATTTTCCATCTGCATCGCAAATCAAACCATAAGCCACAAAATGTCCTTGCGATAGTCATCGACCCACCAATAGTTTGACAACAAACTTGCCGAGCAACTCTGTTATCACCGCTAACCGGCGTTACCAGAGGTTCCAGGAGTTAAATGGAAATTTGCAATAAACAGTTGTCCATTGTGACATACTCATGAGAGATGACCAAGCGCAAGCACGGCCACGATCCGGGTGTAACCGGAGAGAACACCAAGCCAGCAGATCCTAGCGACGCAGTCGTTGAGGAGCCCAAGGAGCTGGCTGGAGAAGAAACAGAGACGGAGGCAGAGCCTGAAGCGGAGACTTCATCACCGTCGAAGACAAATGGTGGACGCAAACGAAAGCGATATCTCTACAACGCCATTAGGGGACAAATGGAGTTCTATTTTGGGGATGCTAACCTAAGTAAAGATCGTTTCCTGCGACGCTATGTCGATCAGGATCCGTGTAAGTAACTTGGATGCGTGGGTGGGGAACTGGGGATTCCAATAAACTGTTATTTGATCTACATCATTTTGAGTTTAAATTCTAGATGTGCCCCTGGAGATTTTCCTCTCGTTCAACAAAATCAAAACGCTCACCCTTGATGTTGGACAGATTGCCAAGTCTTTGGGAAACTCCCAGCTCCTGGAGCTGGACGAAAGCGGGCTTAAGGTAAAGAGGAAGACCAAGCTACCGGTACAGAGGGACGTTAACGATAAGACCTTGTACGTGGAGGCTCTTCCAGCCAATGCTAGTCACGATTGGCTCAAGGAGGTCTTCAGCCGCTATGGACCAGTGGCGTATGTCTCGCTGCCCCATTATCCTGGCACTAAGAAAATCAAGGAGTTCGCTTTCATAGAATTTGAAAAGAGCAGCTCTGTTGAGAAGGCTGTTAAGGCGTTTACGCAAATTCAAGGAGTCTTGGCGATGGACACAGATCCTAGTGAGCTCGCCAGCATCAAGTCCTTCCAACAACAGCAGCAGCCAGTGCTCCCACAGGAGCAACAGCCGCAGCAGGAAGAGATGTCAACGGATGATCCACCAAAACGAAACCTCAAAAGGGAGGTAACCGATAAAAACAAAGAAGAATTGCTCGATGTAAAGCGCCCAAAGTTGGAGGCTGTCGAACAGCCCGAAGAGACCTCCGCAGCAGAGGAAACGGATGCCAGCATGACGGATGCTGAAGCCACCGCCGAAGCCTCCGAAGGGGAGCGCAAGGAGGACAGTAAAGACGGGGAAGACGCTTCAAAGAAGCGGCGACGAAAGCGCAAGAAAAAGGCAGTGGTAGACAAGCCAAATATAGACCCGAGTGCCCTGGAGCTAAAGGTTCTACCCAAAACCAGTTGGAGCAGCCTGCGCAACAAATACTTGAACCTGCAACGTCGCCTGGTTAGCGAAGCCAAGAGCAAGCTGTGGCGCGAGCAACATCCTTACCAGCAGCAGCATCAGCACCCGATCACCCACCACGCCAATCCGCCTCAGCCTGAAGTGGCCAAGGAGGATGATACCACCAGCAGCGAGGTGTTAAGTGATGGTGGGGGAGGAGAACCTGTTGTTGAGGCGGGACCCATCCCGACTAAGCGACGCAAGACGGTGCACAAGATGAACATGAACTTCTATGGTGCCGGCGGCGGAGAGACCACCAAGTCTGAGGAACCGTCACAAGAGCGTACGCCCCTGTTTAAATACGAACCAGGGCTAATAGTAGAGTGTGCTCTCTTGGAACCATGTGCTAGTGTCAAGGAATTTAAAGCTGATATGCGGCAGTACCCAGAGATCAAGTATGTGGATATCAAAGAGGGCGAACAAGTGGCTCAGCTGCGTCTGGCCACGCCTCAGGGCGCGGAGGAGCTCGTTCGCCAGCTTAATTGCGCTGAGCGCCAGCTAAAAATCTTGCGTGGCCAGGCGGAGGCACTCTACTGGCGTAAGATCGAGCAGGACCGCGAGACCAAGCTCTCTAAGAAAGTGCGCGTTCAACAAAAACGTGGCAGAGAAAAGGTTTCGAAGTTGTTGGGAAAACACATCAAGTTCGACGATGGCGATGATGGTGAAGCCCAAGTGGCATCCATAGAATAATAGGAATAATCTCCATCGTTAGGAAACTATTTCTAACGCAAGATTATGCAACAATTGTATATTAATTACTATTTTTTAAACATCAAACAATATTTTTATATATTAAGTTTAAAAGTAACATTTGAAAATTGTACAGAAATTATTATTGGCGAGAATCTTTACTAATTAGAAAGAGATGCAGATGTTAAAATGTATTCATTTCAAAGATTGCGTGAGATATGAATTTTTGAAAGACAGTCCCTTTTTTTGGATTTGATTTAAACACTTAAATAAATACTTTTTGATGATTAAATAGCACTCTTATTATTATATATATATACGCTAATGGAAATATTTACTTAGGTTCTATGCTTTTGGCTTGCAGTCTTCCCAAATCTTCTAGATCTCCGTCTCCTCCTTGACCACCACAACTCGTTTAAACTAAATATACAGGGAGCCATCCGCCGGACCGAGATAATGCATAGAGATAAGCAGCACATCGATGATGGTCCACACGCCAAGGCCGCCGAAACTGAAAAGCTTTCCAATGCCCTCCTGCCAATGACCCAGATAGAATCTGTCAGCTCCGAATCCACCCAAAGTCAGGCTGATCAAGAGGGCAGTGCTCCACCGATAGCCTTGCGTCCAATTGCAGCGCAGGTTTCGCGTAAAGGATCGGTTGCCCAGGCAGAGGACATCCTGGTGGACAGTACAGTTCGTCCGATAATATTTACCTGCAGCAGAGTTGCAATGGGCTCGCTGGACGCAGTTCTGTTGCCATAGCTCCGTTTGGTAGCAGTACCGGCAGTTCATCTGCCGCTGGAAACTCCGCTCACCCTGACACTGCACGTTCCCTATGATCTCGCACGTCACGTTCACATCTCGGCCGTAAAGGCAGCCGTAGTTGTACGCGCACCGGATGCACGGAAACTGCAGCGTCTCGCAGGGCGTGTCCTTATCGAAGGGGCAAAGCATGTTGTTATTGTTAATTGAGTTCGAGCTGCTGTACGTGGTTATGTTATCCAGAACTCCGCCCCCGTTTTTGGAGACCATATTTGACCCCAGTGACGGCACGTAAACCTCGTTGTCGTTGCTGTTCCCGTTGCTGTGGCCATTTCCGTTGTTGCTAGCGTTGCTGTTGTCCTTGTGATCCGATTTCGCATCCGTAAGATCCATTTGGTTTCCACCGCTGGCTGTTTCGCTATTTCTGATTCCGGTCAGGACGAAGATTAGGATCAGAGCTATGGCTGATCGCATGTTAACCACAATGCATTGACGCTGAAATCGCATTATTTTCGCAATATCTTGGCCAAATTCCTTTATATTGAAAGCAAAATATTGTTTGCCGAAATTGTAGCTGTTTAAGTGCGACCAACGCAGGCTATTCCAAAAATACCAAAAAAGTACCAACAAGAGCGAAACCTCTTTTAATGTAAATAAAATATTTTCAAATATGTTATTTGAATTAATATTAAATATTACAATAAATAGTCTTTAATTCAATAATTAGTTATATAATAGCATTTTATATCGAATGGTACCAAAGAAAAAAAAAGTTTATATGCTATACATATGCAAATAAGAATTTATTTTATAAGATAATATCAAATGGGATATATACTACAAACATCGTATATATGTAGCAATCAGAGCTTCATTAAAAAATAATTAATAATTATAAGGAAATAATTTCCTATAATAACAATTATTAAGGGGGTCCAAGCGCCTTTTTTAAACAAAAAAAGTTTATTAAAATAACGATATTACAAAAAACAAGAAACAACAATAAATTTACAACAAAACTACAAGAATCATAACATACAACACATAGAAACACAGTAACAACAACAATTCAATAAAAAAAAATAAAATACCAAAATATAAAATTAATAAATAATTATTTTTCAAACTTTTCAGGCCAGCTTAAGTGCAACCTATGAGAATCGAGGAGGAGGGCATTTTTTTTTTTAATATTTTTTTTTATAAAAACATACTTTTAGAACTTTTAAGACGTATAACTTTTGTATATACTTCATAGGGTCGGAGAAAAAATTATTAAATGGTATCATAGGGCTATATCTTTCCCAATTCTCATCCGATTCATAAGCGGAATACCTTAAACGATTTCTGGGTCGATTTGCTATCATTCTGCATCAAAATTTGGAAACAAAAATATTTTTCGATTTTTTGTCCAATTTTCTAGGGGATCCCCTTCAAAAACCGTGTAAGTGCCTCTATGGTCCACGGGGATGGCTATATCTTTCCCAATTCTCATCCGATTCATAAGCGGAATACCTTAAACGATTTCTGGGCCGATTTGCTATCATTCTGCATCAGAATATGGAAACAAAAATATTTTTCGATTTATTGTCCAATTTTCTAGGGGATCCCCTTCAAAAACCGTGTAAGTGCCTCTATGGTCCACGGGGATGGCTATATCTTTCCCAATTCTCTTCCGATTCATAAGGGGAATACCTTAAACGATTTCTGGGTCGATTTGCCATCATTCTGCATCAAAATATGGAAACAAAAATATTTTTCGAATTTTTGTCCAATTTTCTAGGGGTTCCCCTTCAAAAACCGTGTAAGTGCCTCTATGGTCCACGAGGAAGGCTATATCTTTTCCAATTCTCATCCGATTCATAAGCGGAATACCTTAAACGATTTCTGGGTCGATTTGCCATCATTCTGCATCAAAATATGGAAACAAAAATATTTTTAGATTTTTTATCCAATTTTCTAGGGGATCCCCTTCAAAAACCGTGTAAGTGCCTCTATGGTCCACGGGAATGGCTATATCTTTAGCAATTCTCATCCGATTCATAAGCGGAATACCTTAAACGATTTCTGGTCGATTTGCCATCATTCTGCATCAGAATATGGATACAAAAATATTTTTCGATTTTTTGTCCAATTTTCTAGGGGATCCCCTTCAAAAACGGTGTAATTGTCTCTATGGTCCACGGGGATGGCTATATCTTTGCCAATTCTCATCCGATTCATAAGCGGAATACCTTAAACGATTTCTGGGTCGATTTGCCATCATTCTGCATCAGAATATGGATACAAAAATATTTTTCGATTTTTTGTCCAATTTTCTAGGGGATCCCCTTCAAAAACCGTGTAAGTGCCTCTATGGTCCACGGGAATGGCTATATCTTTGCCAACTCTCATCCGATTCATAAGCGGAATACCTTAAACGATTTCTGGGTCGATTTGCCATCATTCTGCATCAAAATATGGGAACCAAAATATTTTTCGATTTTTTCTCCAATTTTCTAGGGGATCCCCTTCAAAAACCATGTAAGTGCCTCTATGGTCCACGTGGATGGCTATATCTTTGCCAATTCTCATCCGATTCATAAGCGGAATACCTTAAACGATTTCTGGGTCGATTTGCTATCATTCTGCATCAAAGTTTTACATACTATTTAGGGTCGGAGATGTCTCCTTCAATGCGATGCACTTTTAACCAATATTGTAGTACAAGGATACAATAAAGATATATATTAAACATATAAACTTAATCTTGTGGATACTTTTTATTTTGTTACCTAATTAAAATTTTATTAAAACAGATTGGTTCCAAATAAATGACGCAATTATTAAAAAACCTATTTGATTGGGAATAGAAAAATGTTCCAGCCTAAGTTGACACTTTTGATTTAAAATTTGTTGGTAAATGCAGAGTCCGGCCGAGTCCATCATAGTGTAATTAATCATCACGATCACGCATCCTGCTCATAGCCCTCCGTCTTCATGTCGTTTAGACCCAGCTCCTCGTTATCTTCGAACGATCGATCGTACCGCTCCACGGTGAGCTTGTCATCAGGCTCCGCATCATCATCGCTTAACGATTGCACGTAGGTATTACCAGCTGGATCCTCCAGGACTAGGGTGATAACTTGTTCTAGTTTTGTAACTGCCTCGAAGGTATCAAGAAACCGTTGCATCTTTTGTTTAGTCGTCTCATCGGCAGAGTCGTGAAAGAATGTTCCGTCCAGCTGGTCTCGCATGGCCACAAGTAAGCCCTCCACTGTCGTAAACCGACCACAGAGCGCATGAGGTCCCACTTCCAGATCCAGTTCTGGTATCGATAAGCTACATGTTTCAGACTTCAGGACATCGCGGGTTAGGTCTTCCTTGTTGGTTACTCGCACCTAGAATCGGAGAAATGGTTCAATAAGTCATTTCACATATTTTTAAACTTCTTACCTTAAAACGGACACCTTGGGGCTCCACACCGCCACCAGATTTCACCTCGTTGGTCTTGTGACCGCAAGTTCCGCAGACAGTGGCCATAATAACGACCTCCTTGAAGTGCGGAATGTTTGTTAGTTTCATGTTGGTTTCACAGGGCGCCTGGCAATTGGGACAGTTTGTGGGGAACTGCAAAACTTCGCCGTGGAGATTCTCTATAGGCCACTCGTCCTCGGCGATAGGCTTCAAAAGATGTTGCTCCTCGTGGTTTTGTTCGTAGAGTCCTGGAGTTAGTAAACATTACAGTTTTGGGTTGTGGATCGGATAACTCTACACACTTACCTAATTGTTCGTTCTGCTCCTTGGTACGAGTAAAGTGCCCTGTCTTGAGCTGAGGATCTGTCGCCGGGGCCAGGGGATTCTCGATAAAGCTGTTGCCGGAGATGTCTTCGAGAAGCACCCTAAACGGCGTGGTAACCTCCTTGAGCTTGTGCAACCGCTCAATATAAGCGTCTAAGGTAGCTGCTTCAGCAGGGTGATCTATCCGCCGCTTGTCCTGATCCTGAGACAAGCCGGCAATGGTCCTTTCGATGATTCCCTCTACAGTCGTCACCTCACCCTTTTGCGATTGCACTGGAATCTCTAGCTCCACCTCCGGTATGCTTACACTCGAGTTGTCCGATCGCACAACTCTTCGATTAAGATCGGAAACGGTTTTAACCTCCAGCTCGATCCGAACCCCGGACTTCTGGATCTCCGAGGCGGACTGCATCTCGTTGTTGGTATATCCACAGTGGTCGCATTTGAAGGACATCAGGACTACTTCCCGAAAGAAGGGAATCTTGGTGGGCAACAGGCGGGTAACTCCAGTCTGGAAGCATCCCATGCAGGCGGACTCGATCTCTACCACTTCGTCTGTCTGATCGGCGTTTATCTCCCGGAAGATGGGCTCCTTGCGAACAGATTCCTCCGACAAGCTGGAAACATTGCTGCTACTTGTCGCGCCCACTGTAGACATTGTGTGGTGTTTAAGTGTATTTATTTGTGTAAAATAAAGCCGCAACGTGCAACCAGTGCGCTCTACTGTCCTCGATAGAGTGACCATTTTTTTAGTATATATCAGGAGGCTTTAAAAATATACCGACTGAAAGAAAAATATAAAAATAATAATTAAATATGAGTTGGAATCAACAGGTTTTTCATCTAAAAAAAGTTATTTGATTTAACATTTAAGCGAAATAATAATAATAATTATAATTTCAATAATATCCAATTGGGTTTCATACCAGTATAAGGTAGGAGAGGACAAATTGCACAACTGTACCAAGTATATTCCAAGTATATATGCAACAAGTTTATTTAAATATGAATATATATGGAAATGTTAATTAATAATTATTATTGATATTAGATTTTTAGTTTGTGGTTGGCATATATACATATATAAATCAGTTATGACATTTAAGATACATATTTTCAATAAAGTCGAAACTAATCCTATAAACATACTCGTCCAACTAAACAAATATTTAGTCAAGTTTTGTATATTAATGTACAAAATTGTTTAATATTTAAATTTAACGAATAAATTGAGCGCTGAAAGTGAGACCAGAGGACACGGTGGGTTCTTAACGCGCTACAGTTAGAATATTTGGTAGGATTTTTCGCAAGGTGACTGGCGACACTGATCTCTAGCTGCTGTTGTGTGTGTGCGTTCGTGTGCGCGACGAAAAAATATAAAATCGTAACGAGCAGAGGAGAGGAGAAAAAAACGTGTGAAAACTACATAAAAGGTACCGCCTGCATTCAATCGAGGCTATCAAATCAAAAATTAGACATTTAAAGACCTAATAACTGCAAGAATTCGTTGGCAGTTCCGTATGAACATGGCAATGCTCAGGCATTTCAAGGACCTTTTCTGCATTCCCTCCTGTCTACCGTGTGTGTGTGTGTGTGTGTGTATGCAAAAGTAAGAGAGTGCGAGTGCGACTGAGTGGAGCAGAATGTGTCGCGTGTGTCTTCTGACCACGACCACCTGGGCGGTAGTCAAGTGGAAATTTTGCGTTCAAGGACAACCGCAGTGGCAGTAGCATACCGCTCCCCCGCCCATTCCTAGCAATCCCTTCAAGGAGTGTCCGAGAGTCCCCCTTCGGTTTGTGTGGGAAGAGAGGAAGAATGGGGATAAAGAGACCGACCGACGGACGACGACAAGTTGTCTGGCTCTTGCATTTTACAGTTAGAATTTGTTGGGGGGCTCCCCCGCAAAAAAGAGATCTCCCAGGCAAGTGCCAAAACGAAGTGTGATCAGTCGAAAATAGACACATATTTTAATAAAAATAAAAAAGGAATTAAATTTTCATTCGCTTGTATGTGTGGTCCGTTTTTCGTGCTTTTTTTTTTTTGCCGCGTTTGAGCAAGCTTGCGCACACCAATACTCATGTACCTCTGTGCCGCCGCCACTCTCTCCGAAAACACATGGGAGAACGGAGAAGAGGCAGGCCCCAGCACGGGTGCACTCGAAAATAACTGTTCCGAGAGTAAATGAGAGCTAGGGGTGTTTAGATTTAACGGAAAAAAATAATAAAATATAATAAAAAAAAAAAACTAGGAGATATGGATAGGAAAAGTATCAGATGCTGGGGCGCAGATTTGAAAAAAAAGATCCGAAAGGGGGGCATCGTTGCAGTTGTAACCGAAATACAGCCGTTCCAAATCCGCTTACCACGTGTGTTAGGCTGGAGCGTGTGCCTGGGATGCTTCTGTGTATGTGCAATTGTTTTCCGCAGCTGATTTGGATGCGTGTGTATTTTTGTGTAGTAAAGGGGCATGGGGATGGGACAGGCTGAGGATGGGGGCGGGCTTGGAAACTAATCAAGATTTAAATATGCCGCACATCCGCTGACCAATAACTATTTATTTATTCGAGCGGATATGGGGCATGCGTGTGACAGCTAAATTAAATTCAATTACCGATTCGGCCCCCCAAACTATGTACATATGCAGTCAAGGACTGGAGGTCCTCGGTGTCCTTGGCCTTTTTGCTGCCCAAAAGCCATATCTGGCGGATAAAGGCTGGCCAGCCAGCGCTATTTACGCGCCTGCGTACTTCCAGTGGGAAAATAACGGAATCGGAATCAGAATCAAAGGCTAATAGAGCTCAGCTGCTACGTCTACGCAAGTGTGTACATTTCGGTGTGTGTGTGAGTGTGTGTGTGTGTGGGGATATAGCGAGTGTGATTGGCGCATAGCTCGTAACTCGTAACTCGAGCTGGAAGTACCCCTTTCCTCCACCCCCCAACCCCCACCCGCTTAACGTTTTGAGAGGTGGAGATGGCGCAAATAGTAATTGGAAATCGGGCGATCGGTATCTGGAAAAGCATAAACAAAAAAGGGCCAAACCAAAACCAAGTAAAAAGGTTACTCAACGCGGGGAACTCAAGTTCAGATTCCGGGTACGCTGAGTCCGCGGAAAGGAAACCAATACGACTTCACGGGAACTTCACGGCAGCTCAAGGCTATTGAGACCTTGCCCAGCGACTCCCATTCCAAAAAGTGATCTTATTTCCAATCAACAAGTCTTATTCCCGGCAAATCATTCCAACGGGAATAGTCTGGAACTGTGTCCTATTGGAACTGAGTTCCGAGAAAAGTTCTTATTGGAATTCCCAGTATTAGATTACTTCCTCTTTCATCTTAATTCCAACAAGTATCTGAGTTAATGGGTCTTTCCTTTACCGTTAGCCCAAAAGTATACACCATAACGGGTGCGTGTGTGGTTACATAAGCCATAGCCGTCGCTCAATGGGGGCTGGGGGATGCTACCTAGCTAGGTGGTTCTGTTTCCGAAAATTAGAATCTTACAAATACAAAAAATAAAAAAAAAAACAGAGAAACATTTCCTCATTTACTTTAATGCCAATTTCGATTTCACAACACTTCCCCCCCTGTGGGTCTATTCCCTTTTATTCTCTTTGTTCCCTTCGTTCGTTACGTTATTCGCAGGCAGGCCGTTATATATTTGTTAGTTCGTTTTTCGTTTTATTTTGTGTTTTTGTTGTTCGCGTTGAGCGTTGTTGTTCTTGTTCCGCTCGGTTGCGGGTGTTATCGGTGGAAAGCGGCATTTGGTTTTTCGGGAAATATTAATTAGCGTTAAGGTTTTGCCAAAATAACGCGATTTTCTAAAACGCCTTTTTTTTTGCGATCTCTTCCATTTCTATTTTCATACGAATACGAAACGGACACCAAAAAAGAACAAGAAAGCGGCGCTGTCGTCCATTTTAACGCCTTCTTCGTCGTCAGTGTTCGTTGTCGTCGTGTCTTCGTCGTCCTTGTTTCATTTTGTGATCATCATACGTCGTACAACACAACAACAACTACCGCTACAAGAACAGCAAGATCATCACTCAACATCATGCAATATCCCACGCTTTAAGAATTCGTCAACCTCGGAAGGATCAGAGAGGATATAGAGAAACCAACCAAAAAAAAAAAAAAACGCAAGCATACATTTAAAAAAAAAAACGAAAAGAAACTAAAACCAAACCAACAGCAGAAAGGAGGCTCGCAAATATGTATAGAAATTTGCAATAATTATAAGGAAGCAGGAAGAAGGAAGCCGGAACCAGGAACCAGGACGCTGGAAGCAGGAGGAGAGGACCAGTACCATACCAAACAGCCAAAAGAGAGCTGCGAGAAACGGTAAATCCGGGAGAGCTCGCCAACCGTCGTATGTGTGTTGGGTTTTTGTGTGTGTGCGTGTGAGCACGTATATCGTATATCGCTCTGTCCCACTTTTGTCGTCTACGATTTTGAAAGCAAGGCATCGAAGCCAGTCTCACTGGAAAGCTCTCCTCCGGCTGTCGATCACACGCTTTGCCCATTATTGCCCTCTCAAGGATCAAGGAAGTCCTGGATCTTAATTAGCACAGGTCGCAGGAGACCAATTGGCATGGCTCTCTCGCAAGAGCGGCAGGACATCAGGGAGCAGCAGCAGCACCAGTAGCAGGATCAACAGTAAATAGCTTGGATCAAAACGAAAGGATAAAGTGTGAAGGATATCAAGAAAGGATTAACTAGAGACGGAAACCAAACCAAAAAGGAACTTAAAACAGGATTACCAATTAGTGACATCGAATCTAAAAAAAGAAGCTTAACAAGAAAGGTGAGAATGACTTAATTACTGTTAGTAATTGTTTTAACTAGTTATCCTTTCGAAAATTGTAGAAGGATAATGGCTACCACTTTGGAGGAGCCTGTCCCCACGGCTGTGGACGTGGGGGAGGAGTCGTGTGGCACCGCCAACGGCAATGCCAGCATTAGCTTGAAGAGCGTGCTCAGCGACGACACCTCGTCGTCGTCTGTCCTGGAGGACACGGATGTCAACACGAGCAGCAGCAGCTCCGCCAGCTGCAGCAGCAGCTCGTCCAGCTCTAGCAGCAGCAGCTCGGGCTTGTGCTCCGGTACGGATACCGACACTGGGAAAGGTAGCAGCAATGTGGGCATCCTGGATGTGACCAATGTGAGCACGTCGAGCAACGCATCGATGGTCTCCATCACCTCCTCGGTGTCTACCGCGGGCTGTAGCGCCGCCTCGATTATGGCCAACTCGAGCTCTTCCTCGGGAATTGAGCTCGGTCTCGTGGTGGACGTGGACAGCTCCGGGAGCAGTCAGGAGCTGAGCAGCCACGGCGTCACCGAGCTAGACTCGCTGGAGGACTCGTGCAATGGGCTGATCAAGGATGGGGATAAATTGTGCAAGTTGTGCAGGTGAGTGGCAGAATGGAACACCTTGTCTTTTATTGAATTATATAATAATTCTGGAATTTAGCTCACGTCTGGTGATGCCACGCATCCTGTCGTGTCTGCACGTCTTCTGCGAGGATTGCCTGCAGGCACTGGTCTCGAAGGATGGCTCGTCGGTGGCGGCCAGTTCGCCGACCAGTTGCTCTTCGTCCTCATTCGATGGCGGCAGCGATCGCCTCAACGCGTTGATTCTCGAGTGTCCTGTTTGCAAGCAGGCCACTCCGTTGGGGCCCAAGGGCGTCAAGGGCCTGACCTGCGACTACATTGTGACGAATATACTCGACCTATCCAATCTGGAGTCGGAGCATATTGCCTGCACCTCCTGCAAGAGCAAGGAGGAGGCCATATCGAGGTGCAACGACTGCGCCAACTTTCTGTGCAACGGATGCGACAATGCGCACAAGTACATGCGTTGCTTCGAAAACCACCAGGTGGTCCGCATCGAGGACCTGCAGAAGAACGTCCACGACAAGCTAATCATTCACAAGCCGGTGTGCTGTCGGCAGCATGTGAGCGAGAATCTCAAGTACTACTGCTTCACCTGCCAGGTGCCGACCTGCAACGACTGCCTGCTCAGTGACCACAAGGGCAGCGACCATCACTATGAGACGGCCACCGTGGCCGAGCAGGCGGTGCGTGCCGATCTGGAGCACACGCTGGGCGAGACACTGAAGAAGGCCGATTATTGCAACGAAGCAGGTGGCAACCTCGGCTCTGCCCTGACCGAGCTCCAGTCGCAACATGACTCTGTCCGCCAGCAGATCGAGGACACTTACAAGAGCTACAAGCGAATGCTGGAGGGGGTCAAAGAGGGGCTGCTGAACGAACTGAGCCACCTGCACTCGGAGAGGGAATTGAAGATCATGGACTTGATGCAGAGCCTGGAGAATAATATGGGTAAATTGCAGCAAGCTGCACAATTTGGTCAGCGAGCTATTGATAAAGCCAATGCCATAGAGTTCCTGTTGCTCAAGCCGGTGATCCATGCCCAGTGTTTGAATCTCATGGAGGAGACGCCCAAGTGCGACGTCAATTACCAGCTGCAGTTTGATTCGAAGCCGGAGAAGTTTGAGCAGTTTGCCCGCGAGGTATTCGGCAAGTTCCAAACGGAGCAGAGCACCTCCAGTCCCAAGAAGGGTGCCATGGCGTTGGTCCAGCAGCAGCAGCAGCAACCGTCGGCCCAGCAACTCCAGCAGCAGCAGCATCATCAGGTAGGGACTTATATGTCGAAGACACTTATTGGTACACTATTTTAAGGCGCATGTTACTTATTCTATGAGTTTGTGGTTCCTTCTTTAGAAGACCACATGCTCCACCTATTATTATTTATTTATTTTTTAATTTAAACATACTTTAGCTTTAATTTGAAATGGGTTAGTACTAACAATCCCAAGACCTTGCACTTTGAATTGTGTACTAATGTGGCTTCTATGTTTATAGCAGGTGCAGCAGCAGCAGCAGCAGCAGGTGCAAGTGCAGCACCAACAGCAGGTGCAGCAAGCGCAGCAGCACCAGCAACAGCAACTGCAACAGCTGCAACACCACCAGCAGCAACAGGCCCAGGGCCCCAACAACCTGATTGTGGGCCACCGCGGAAGCTCCTCTGTCCAGGGCCGTCTCAGCTCGGCGGTCTTCAGTCCCATATCGCTGCCCTCGTCGCTGCAGAGCTCCTTCGACGGGGACACCAACTCTGTGATGACCACCTTCTCGATGATGGACTCGCCGCCGCAGCAGCAGGCGCAGCAGCAACAACAGCAGCAGCAGCAGCAATCCCAGCAGCAACAGCAACAGCAGGCGGTGGTGCTCCACCAGCAGCAGCAGCAACAACAACAGCAGCAGCAGAAGCACCAACAGCATCAGCACCAGCAGCAGCAGCAGGTTCTGCACCAGCAGGCTCAACTGGTGGCGCCCCAAAACATTGTCCAGCAGGCTGGACACGTCAACCTCAATGCCGGACCCGGTCCGAATCTGACCATCAATGGATTGGGAGCCGGCGGACCGCCTCCCAGCTTCAGCATGCTGGAGTACAACATTTCGCGGCTGGCCAGCCTCACAGAGCCAATGCCCGAGACCCTGGGCGATGCTCTGGCCGTTGGCGGTGCTGGCAGTGGTCCGGGGACCAGTGTGGCTCAAGTGGCCGGCGGCGCTCCGGTTACGGGCGGCCCGGTCGTGGGAGCCCCCCATCCCCATCAGCAGCAACAGCAGGCAGTGATTCCGGCGTCCGCGGTGACCCCCACCCAGCCCATCACCCTGGCTGACATCCTGTCCGGCGACCAGAGGGCTCTCAACAATCTGCAGGCCCTGGCCAAGCTGGGATTGAACAACAACGGTGAGTGCTCCCATCAATTGAACACCCAGTCCAGGTTATGAGCTCCTGCTGAGGGGACTTTCTTGCTCCACTTTTTAGTTGGCTTCAGTTTTCCTTCCATTTTTGAGTTTTTCTTTTTTTTTTTCTTCTTTTTTAATATGCTTGACACCAACCCGACACACAACCATGTCCTTGTACCTGCCACACGACACATCCCCACATCCCCGACACCAACACCACAGATGATCTTTTGTCGAGCGGAAGCTCAACGGGAATTGATTTTTTATCAGATTTCTGCCTACCAGCGGCCCCCTCGCCCAGCCTCAATCCAATTGTGGGTGGCGTTGAGGATATAGGACTCAACAATTTCCATGCCGTGGCACCACCCGGCACCACCAGCGTCGTTACGGGCCGCAACAAGGCCACTCCAATGCAGATCCGCTGCAAATTCGGCTCCCTGGGCACCGCCAAGGGCCAGTTTAACTCGCCCCACGGCTTCTGTCTGGGCGTCGACGAGGAGATCATCGTCGCGGACACCAACAACCATCGCATCGAGGTCTTTGACAAGATGGGCGCCCTCAAGTTCCAGTTCGGCGTCGCTGGCAAAGAGGAGGGCCAGCTCTGGTATCCACGCAAGGTGGCCGTCATGCACAACAACGGCAAGTTCGTGGTGTGCGACCGCGGCAACGAGCGCTCCCGGATGCAGATCTTCTCCAAGTGCGGTCACTTTATGCGCAAGATTGCCATTAGGTAAGGAGTGTCAAATAATTGTCCATCTCCCATCTTTCTATATTCTTGTCTTGTGTATCCTTCAGATACATTGACATCGTGGCAGGATTGGCTGTCACCGCCAAGGGTCACATCGTGGCCGTGGACAGTGTCTCGCCCACCGTCTTTGTGATCTCGGAGGAGGGCGAGCTGGTGCGCTGGTTCGATTGTAGCGACTATATGCGCGAGCCCTCTGATATTGCCATAAGAGGTGAGAAATGAGCTTACTTACCGCGCTTCCGGGACTAACGAGTTCTTAATCCTCCCCATCCAGACAACGACTTCTATGTTTGCGATTTCAAGGGCCATTGTGTGGCCGTTTTCCAGGACGACGGAACATTCCTCTATCGCATTGGCAACGAGAAGGTCACCTGCTTCCCCAACGGCATCGACATCTCGAATGCCGGGGACGTGCTCATCGGGGACTCGCACGGCAACCGATTCCATGTGGCCTGTTACTCGCGCGAAGGCGCCCTCCAGTCCGAGTTCGAGTGCCCACATGTCAAGGTAAGTGCCAGATTTATGTATTGGTGGCCCAAAATTGTACTTCTTAAGCGGATATGGTATTGCGGGATGAAAATTTTGTTTCGGAAATTCGAGATAGAGTGTTCGATAGAGTCGGTTCGTCGACCGATGTGTGTGAGAATGTTTAAAACGTAATTGGTTTTTCAGGTTTCCCGCTGTTGCGGCCTGAAAATCACATCCGAGGGCTATGTGGTGACCCTCGCCAAGAACAATCATCATGTTCTGGTCTTGAACACCCTCTATGTTCACTGATTGCAAATCAAAGCGCGCAACAATCGTCCATCAGTCGATATGAACAAATACAACTACAAATACTCGTCGGGGAAAATATACGGCTGTCGACGTCAGCCACAGCCACAACAGCAGCAGCAATCAACATCAACAAGCAACACCTGCAACAACAACATCAACAACATGACCAACTTGAGCAACACGGGCAGCAATTTGTTGGCAAGGAAACAACACAACAACCAGGAGCAGGAGCAGCAGGAGCAGCGGGAGCAGCAGGAGCAGCCGCATCCTTCACCAACATCAGTCATTTTAAACTGAGAATGAGAATCAACATTTATCCAAGAACTTAGCAACGATTTTGACAGCAAAACCAGAGCAGAAACAGCAATAATTCTATATATCCAAAACAGAGAGATATCCATATAATATATATGTGACTATATAGGCGACACATATATAAAGATATATATACATAAATATACGCATATGTATGATGTATATGTATATGAGAACGGGGAAGACAAGTCTCGAAACACCAAATAGAAAAGAAAAATCCTTTTTAAATAACCAGTGTTGCCATTTTTGTGAGCTAGGGACGGCAACTCTATAACAAAACCTACAAAATAACGATAAACAAAATGCAACAAATACTATTTTTGATCTCTAATTTAAACAACAATTAGCGCTACTACTAAAAACAAAAACAAAAACAAAAACAAAACAAACATCAACAAATTTAACAAAGAAAAACTAAAATATTTTACCTAATATAAACAAAAAAAGAAAAACGAATAGGAAGCAAAGAAAAGAACGACAAACGATGAAGAAACTTGGCGGGGGGATATTTTAAAAAAAGGCGTTTTTTAAAACACTCTTTTTAGATTTTTTATTCGGTTACCAGAATGTTCAGTTTTATTTTTTATGGATTTATGTTCTTGTTAAAAATTCGTCATAAAATACTATCACATATACACACAAACACTCACACACACTACTATACATGTTACTTATTATCTATATAGACATATATATTGTTATATCGACCGATTAGCTTTTTTGTGCATACCCTTCCAGAATCTTTTTCTAAAAAAAAAAAATAAGCAAGCAAAAAAACCAAAACGAAACACGCATATATATACAACACATATATATATATATACATATATATATATATATATATATCTACACCTATATATCTATGTATATCTAGAGAAATGTGCAACTTTTGTGCACATCGGGTTTTTGCCAATTGGAAAATTTGGCAAAAAGTGAGTGGGGTTGGGGAGGGGGTGGGGGGGGGGAGTAGGAAAGGAAAACCAGGATTTAAACCATTTGTTGATAAAACGAGGAAGGAAGCGCGCGAACAGGCAATAATTCTAGAAGATGAAATCTAAGTAGTTTATTTTGATTTCATTGAAAACTGAAACCAAAACCACTAACAAAACAAAAAAAAAACGAGAAAAAAAAGAAGAAATTTATGAAATAAACAACTTTTTAGGTTTTTCCTTACGCTGCTTATATAAGGTGATATCTATTTATATATAAATATATATATGAATATATGAAAAACAAAAAAAAAACTATATATCTTAAACATATATGTGAAATCCTATGACTATATGACTTTGCCATATATATACAAAACAAAAAAAAAAAAACAAATGGAGGAGGAGGAGTGTCAGGAGTTAGGCATATAGGTTACAGGGATGGGGACGGAAGTGGGTCAAGCACACACAGGCCGCGAGGTCATCAGGTCAGGTGGTATCTTTACGTTAATGTGTGTGTGTGTGTGTTTATGAAACATCAGCAACATGAACTATATAGACAGCAAACTCAACATACAAACTAACTTTTAAGCTAACCATTAGGCCAAGAACTATGACAGCAATAACAAAACCAACAAATGCAAAGTGTGAAGTGAGATGAAACAAAAAACAAAAAAACAAAAAACATACAACAGTAAACAAAAACGTATCTGTTAAGTTCTAATATACATTGTTAAACAAACAAAAAAAAAAAAAACAAAAAACGATATTCCTTTTGCTTATATACAACAAACAAACAAACAAACATATACAACACATGTGCATGTTATCCAACAAACAAACAAACAAACAAACATACACACACACATACAAGCAAACACTCACACACCATTTAGGATGATAAATATATACATACATGTACGGATACATGCAACATTTCTTTCCCGTTGTAATACAATATAAGGCTGGTTTACTCCCAAGACATTATTATTTTACAAAGAAAACTAATCGAACGCGGCCGACCGTGTGTTTAAATATGTATATTATTATGATTTAATTTGTTGTTCTCTTATATATACATATATATATATATACCGTTTTTTTAATGTATGAATTTTTGTCAAGTAATGGCAATTCTTAGAAATGAAGTTGAGCGAGAAAGCAAAGCGTCGAAGCGAGCAACTTATTTTTCATAGGCTGTAACATCACATTTATCATAAAGAACACACAACATACACACACAACATACACAAACAACGAAACGAATCTTTTGTTTTAAAAGAAAGAAACCAACATATTTTAGGCTTTACTCGATTCTATTTGAAATGTTTTAAACAAAATGAAAAATATCCTGCATCCCTTTTTGAGTTTTTATATTTTAAAACTTAACACTGAAGAAAACTGTTTTTAATCTTGTCATTTATTTTATAATTGTATATCTAGTTTTAATGAAAAAAACAAAACAAAAAGATACGATGTTAAACGAATATCACACACACTACACTATACACTACACATTTGATGATTCTGTACTGTCATATTTCTAATTCGTTTAGTTTTTATATTGTTACGTGTGAGGCTACACAATACATATTATAATTTAGGCTTTAATCTATTCGACTAAGAAAACTAAACTACGAGAACCAAGTGAAAACGCTTCTGTTTATGTTATACCACTGAAATTATCAAACATTTACCTATACACATTATTTTAATTATGATTATGATTATTATGTAACCCAAAGTTGTTGAGAGGTCTGCCAAGCGCCTAGTAAGAGCAGGAGAAACCTGAAGGGTATATGAGGGTAAAAGAAAAATGCAATTTTTTGTGAAACAATTTGGCTGTTGAATTATGTAATTTTTAATTATTTACGCTTCGGACTTTCTCGTTTATTAACTTAAGCCCACAAAGCAAGTGTTATATATATTTTACGTTCGTAATTGTTTTTTTTTTTCCGTAAGATTTCCGTAATTTGTTCGTATCTTATGAATTTATCGCGTATTCCTTTTATAACTTTTAATTGTTTCCTATGACCTATGACCCTTTCCACATTCATATCCCTATTGTTGTCGCTTCATTAACTACGAAAGTATTAAAGAGAGGAAACTAATTTTTTCTAAAGAATAACTCAAATGCAAATTATACCAAAATATTTGATTTCAAATCCCCCTTCCTTTCTGGTTACCACCGTATTTGGAAACTTTTATTATTTTTTACGATTCGATTTTATGTTTTTTCCTTTGAATCCTTAATCTTTATTTTTGGGTTGCCTTTGCCTTAGTCAGCAGAATTTCTGTAAAACAAACTCGAAAACTGTTATACAATTCAAAAAAATGAAAAACACAAACTAATCTAAACTAAAAGAAAAATACCATTTTACATTTGTTTCTAGTTTTTATGGAAAGCCTTCAAAATGAAATTGTAATTCCACACGCTTTTATTTTATAAAAAAAAAATGAAAAATGAATGAATGAATGAGAACAAGAGTAGAGCAAAGCATTGAAACCTTTATTTTGTGTTTTGTTTAAAATTTCTTTTGCTTTGTTGAACCACAAAATACAAAACAACAAAAAAACAAACAAAAAAAGTCAATTGTTGCTTTAAAGAAAATTGAAAATTTTAATTTAAGTTTAATCCGAGAATGATATTAAGGGAACCGTACATGATTTTTATGCGATTGCGTTTACAAAATAATTTTCCACACCAAAAGCAAAAACAAAAACAAAAACAACACACAAATCAAACAAAAAACAAATTTATTTCCTATGGCATACAAATTTTTAAGTGAGAAAACCAAATAAATCAAGAAATGTGCTTAAGTTTAAATCAAATTTACAATTTAGTTGAGATTATCCAAAACTTAACGACGATAACATTTTACTAAACTACGTATAACTATAGGATTTCTAGCGAAAATATATATAAATACCTATATATATATATATTTATACATTTACAATAACAACAACACACCTGTATATATTTGCTATTATCTGTATACATTTATGTACGATTAGCGAATGGCCTCACGGGGGCGTGCCAGGCCGGTGGTCGGGTCGGGAGCGGGGGCGTGGTCGATGGGGGAGGGGCGGCAAAAACTAGTCACTTAAAAAAAAAGAACAATACACAACCTGTGGACGAACGTATTTGCCATTTACCGACGAAAACACTGAACCCTGACCCAGTGACCTCTGACCTTCCCACCGCCTCCCCCCCTACACCTCGCCAGCGCCCGTCACCCACTTTCCACATGAAAGCAATAAAAATTCAAGTTTAGTAGCTGATATTTTCTTAGTTGCTTACCGTGTAAAGAAAAATGTGACAAAATGAGAAAGCTTTCCACCTCAACTCTACATCTATATATTTTCTACAATCATATATATATATATATTTCATATATGTATTTCAAAGTATAATATTAAAGTTTTTCCATTTCGTTTGTATTCCCTCTGACTTATGTTTTCTTTCCACTCCACAAAGGAAAATCCATACAAACTAATTAGAGAATATTTAACTTTAGGGACTAGAAGACACACGAGACACAGGACACAGACACAGTACACTTAGTAAACAGCAACCACACCACACATGTTTCTCAATCACTTGATATATAAACATAAATATAGTTACGTTAATTCCTACTCTGCATACGCATACATAAAGAATTATCAATTTTTATATAGTCAATAATTGGCAAGGATCAAGAGTACGAGGACGAAGGACGAGAGGGAAACCTTTTTTTTTTTATAAAGATGCTGCCAAAGATTTTT